TTGCACACAGTTTCTTTTGTGAATAATTGGATTATTGATAGGACAGTTTAATATTTGATCTGTGTGCGTTGTTTTTCTATATACTTGTGTTTCTAAATTTCCTGTGTTGGTTCTCCTGATTAAGACATCTAAAGAGAATGGGATTTTGTTATCTAATTCTTCTTCCCTTGTGAATTTGATGTCTTCAAATATTTTGTTTATTAATTTATGAGTATATTCTAAATTATTATTATTATTGCTCCCTTGGGTTCCTAGTGGAACATAGGGCTTCAACTGCACGTCTCCATTTGCTTCTGTCTTCTGCTGTACTTTTCGCCTGCATCCATGTTAGTCCATATTCTTTCAACTCCTCTTCACACGATCTCCTCCATGTCACCCTTGGACGTCCCACACGCCGCTTCCCTTTCGGGTTCCACTCGAGGGCTTGACGCGCGATGTCACCCAGCGGTCTCCTCAGCGAGTTTCCATCTCCACTTTCTCCTGCATATTTGTTGGGCGATTGGTTCTTGCTTTGTTTGTTCCCATAATTCCTTGTTGGTGATTCTTTCCGGCCATCTGATCTTCAGTATAGAGCGAAGACAGTTGTTAATAAAGGTCTGCAACCTCTTGGAAATATTCTTTGTGACCCGCCCGCCAAGTTTCTGATCCGTATAGAAGAATGACTGACTTGACGTTTGTATTGAAAATCCGAATTTTGTTGTTGATGCTGAGTGACGAAGATTTCCAGATTGATTTCAGGTTGATGAATGTGTTTCTCGCCTTCCCGATTCTCGCTCGATTTGACATCCTCGTCCGTTCCTCCTGTAGTTGAGACAATGCTCCCTAGATAAGTGAATGAAGTAACCTCTTTCAAATCCCTCCCGTTGATGGTGATTGACGTTGGATCTGTTGCTGTTGTTGGTTGGTTATTTTCATAACCTCCGTCTTGTCTATGTTTACCTGGAGTCCTGTCTTTGCTGCTTCTTCGACCAGTTTGTCGGTTTTCGCTTGTAAGTCTTCGATTGTGTGTGACATCAAACATAAATCATCCACGCGCGAAATCCAGGTCTTCTAGGTTCTTCACGTCGGTCCAGGATATTCCTGTCTTCTCGTTTCCCACAGTCTGACGCATAATCCAGTCCACCACAATTAGGAATATCATTGGTGATAGTAAGCACCCTTGTCTGACTCCTGTGTTTACTCCAAACGCCTCGCTGAGTTTTCCGTTGTGGATCACTTGACATGTGCCGTTGTCGTACAGCTGTTGAATAAGGTTGATGAATATTTGGGGTACGCCATAGTACTCGAGTAATTTCCAAATTACTTCACGGTCAACGCTGTCGAAGGCCTTCTCAAAGTCTATAAAGTTGAGGTAGAGGTTTGATTGCCATTCCATGCTTTGTTCTGTGATGATGATGCGTAGAGTTGCAATTTGGTCAGTACATGATTTGCCTTTCCTGAATCCAGCTTGTTCTGGTCGGAGTTCTGTCTCCAGTGCGTCCTTTAATCTCTCCAGGATGATGCGACTCAGGATTTTACTTGGCGTCGATAGGAGCATGATTCCTCGCCAGTTCTTGCAGAGTGAGGCCTAAGTCGCCCTTCTTTGGTAGTTTCACGAGGTAACCTTTCCTCCAGTCAGTAGGCACCTTTCCCTCCTTCCAGACCTTTTGCAATAATGGAGTCAGCATGTCTCTGGGTCCGCTTTCAGTGCTTCAGGGGGTATTCCATCTGGTCCAGCTTTCAGAAGCTTGATTGCATTCAAGACTTCAGCTCTCGTTGGAGGATTGGTGTCAACTTGCAGTTGTGTGCGCGCTGTTGTTGGTATTTCTGGACGGGTTGCAGGTGATGGTCGGTTCAAGAGTCCTTTGAAGTGATCCGCCCATTGTTTAATCTGTTTTTCTTCCTTGGTAATTGGGTTCCCTTGGCTGTCTTTTATAGGTTTCGCTTGTGTTGATCTCTTCCCGGATAGAGATTTGGTTATCTGATATAGTGTCCTCAGGTCCCTTTTGCCTGCTGCCTTTCAGCTTCAGTAGCTAGATTGTCGTAGAATCGTCTTTTGTCCTTCCTAGCACTCTTCTTCACTTCTTTGTCCAGTGCTTTGTAAGTTGAGCTCAGCGTCTCCTTCTCCTGTCCGTCCTTGCATTGAATCATTTTCTCTTTCACCATTCTCCTCTCTTCTATTAATTTCCAAGTGTCCGTTGAGAGCCATTCCTTGTCTTGTCTCTTCTTTCTTCCTAGAACCGTTGAACACGTTTCGTTGAGAATCGCCTTCAGAGACTTCCAATGTTCTTCCACGCATGATTCTTCAGTGATGTCGCGTAGTGTTTCCTGCTTTGCTCTGACAGTTGCAGTGAAAGTGTCTTTTGTGGTTGTGTCCTTCAGTTTGAGTGTTGAACTTGCATTGTGGCCTATCCCCAGCTATCCTCGAGGCTTTTAGTTTCACCTTGAAAGTCCCTTCTACTAGATAGTGGTCTGAACCCACATCTGCTCCTCTCCTTGACCTTGTGTCCAGTAGGCTCCGTCTCCACTTTCTTGAAATTGAGATGAAGTCTATTTGGTTCTTGGTGTTTCCATCTGGTGAAATCCATGTCGTCTTGTGTATATCCTTGTGTTTGAACACACTACCGCCAATCACCAAATCATTGAAGGCGCAGAAGTCTGAGAAGAGTTCACCATTGTCGTTCATTTCGCCGAGGGCCTCACGACCCATGGTGAGTTCTCTTCCTGTGTTGTCTCCTCCCAGCTTCGCATTCATGTCGCCCATCAGGATTTTGATATCGCCATTTGGGACGTTGTCCATTATTGCTTGTAGTTGTCTGTAGAACGCCTCCTTCTTCTCTTGTTCTGAGACGTTTGTAGGCGCATAGCATTGAATGACTGTAACTTTCCTTCCTTTTGAGTTGAACCTGGCTGTCATTATCCTGGAGGAGATTGGTTCCCACTGCATGAGAGCTTTGGCTGCTGTTGGTGACATCATGATGGCCACTCCCTCGGTGTGCTCATGGTTGTCCTCTGGGTGGCCGGAAAGATTACTGTCTCTCCAGTAGGTAGTTGGCACCTTCCAGTTCCGTTCCATCTGCTTCGCAGATTCCCAACACTTCTATTCTGTACCTTCTCATTTCAGCGGCTATCTGGGCAGCCTTTCCAGTTTCGTACATTGTACGAACATTCCAGGTACCCATCCTTACTTTTGCTTTCATCGAAAGAAGGCACATCGGCTGACTGGCTTCCCGAAGGCTTTCACCAGCCTGCGTCATTTCACTTCCCCGATTCCAGCGAAAAGTAAGGCTATTGCTTATGTTTTTAGAATTTTTAATATATTTATTCGTTGAAGTTTCTGTAGCGATTTGGTTGTTTTACAGGGGTGGAGTTGCTAGCACCACGCCCCAACCCTCCCTCTTTACCCGGGCTTGGGACCGGCTAGAAAACTAGTAAGCTAGTATCTGGCGAGTTTACATTCTATATCATTTCTCTTAATTATTACAAATGTATCATCAACGTAACGTACCTGTCCAAATTTTCGGTTTAATTATAGGTAGAGCTATTAATTCTAATCCTTAGTTAATTAAGTACATATCACTGTCCAACATTATCAGAGTCGAAATATATAATTCTCTTGAGTGTACACGATAGCACTTCAAACCTAAACTACCTAATGAACGGATAAAAGACCTTGAGCAACCAAACAGATGAGTCCTTGGTATCCAGGCGGAATTATAGACGCTATACACCAGCTGCCTAGCAAATTCAATCGAGATCTAGTTGTTGGTTAGTGTTTAGATAACAGACTAATAGGGTGGGAGAAAACGTGTGGATTTGGAGGTGTTATTCATTTGCAAAGATACACCCTCTGCACTAGTGAATTTGTTTACAGGCGCGAAGACTGCCGAAGCAGAAAGTCAGTTCGAGAAGGTATGGCATTCATTTTTAGTTTATGGATACTGTAGGTACTTTCTTCGCTAAATCGAAGTGGCCTCTAACCTAAATTATGGTGATGATGTATCGCAACTAGGTCCTAAAAAGATCACTTACAGCGACGTCATTCGAAACAGAGAATTCAGAAGTGCCTGCAGTGCAATGGTGCCAGTACTGCAGAGATGGAACCTCATAGTGAATGAACAGTCTGATGCAAATACTTGGTGACATTGATGTCGCTGTTGATGTGGATCAGATGGTTTTCATAAAAAGGAAATATAATCCAGATAGACTAAGTTCCATTCAACAGTAGTATTGGGATTATATGATGCCACCCTGAGCAAAACGGTATTTTGAGATGATCCCTGATCTCATTGCCAATGTTTTATTGCCTATTATCCGAAGTTTAGCCATGCCTGGCACAACGAATCACACAGATTAATAGATTAGCTAGAGCCAACAGACATCCCTGGGTTATATTTATGACGTGATTAGTCATACGGACGCTCTCTCTCTCTCTCGTTAATCCTTTCGATGGGACTCACAGCAATTCCATCGCTAAATTCTGGAACTATCCCAAAAATAGAATCACAGTGGTGAACGGGTCTAGAAATAGAATAATTTACAGTTATCTTGACAAATTTTATGTCCAGAAATTGGTCCAACCTAACTATGCAGACTTCTATGAGGGAGTGGGAGGTTTTTTCTTGGAACATACACTCAAGAACGTTATCCTATGTAAATATTTTTAAGATTCCATTACTTTTACATAAACGTTTTTGTTTTCGAATTACGCACTCTTTACTTCAGATGCATTTGATTGGTGGATAGAGTCTTTGTCAGGGTCATTTATCCATCTCTTCTGACTCACTAAACACCGAATGAGTACTCTTCAAGTGTGGAGAATTTCATACGCGCATAATCACACCATCATACCTTACATACATCATACCTTAAGTTGCTAAAATAGCATGAAGCCTGTTAAAAACTAAAATCTATTCCAGACTTCATATTCTCCGCGTTCTACATTTCCACGTAAACATGGACAGCCTACCTGTACCTGAAGTCACCTTCAAAAATGTTTTCTTAAAAAGGCACAAATTGTTGGAACAAGTTAATTTAATGAATAAAATAATTGTAAACTATTACAAATCCCAACAATACCTGAGATAGACAGATAAACAGATAGACAGCTTGACAGACAGACATACGGAGACATATGCAATGAAATAGTAACAATACAAGCAACTTTTAAACAAATACTCCCTGAGATTTCAGAGTCCACGTTTGTTAAACATCAGTGAAAGCTCTAATTCTCAAAATCGATACATAAATTTAGGTGTTAAAACCCACAAAATAATAACAATAATAATAATGAAAGTAAATTAAAGCCAATAATCAATGAAGTCACCAAATGACAACAATCCAAACTAAATAACGAAAGAAACGGGGTGGTTATATGGTATATTTCTTTATTTGAAGTGGGGGCACCTACACCTGCCTCCCTATCCAATGAATATTGTGAAGCGTTTCAATAAAAAAAAAGGTTCAAAAACATACCAACCAACATGATTACATGAGAATTCATGAGTAATCTCCGTTTCACTTTTGAGCTTACTGCCTCTATTTCATGCATTACACTGAGCACATATCACTATCAAGTGATGTTTTCTGATAAAAGTGTAGCAAAATGTAACACATTTCAAGAATTTGATGCCATCGACAATATGTACGTCACAGAAAAGGATTTTTGGTATACAATTTCATTTAAAAAGCATACAAAAGAAGTATGACTTGTCATTAAACCACAATAGCAACAGAGGACTGCATTACAGTTGCCAAAGATATGCAATAAAGCAACTCGAAGTAAAAGTATGTGCTCTGTCAGTCTCAACACACGCTAATATATAACTCCATTATATCATATTTTCTTATCCAAAATTACACAAATTATTTTTTAAATTATTGTTTGGAGAATTTAAACAACACGATAAGCGAAAGAAAATAACTAGAAACTTCCTTGTGCGTTTTTAAGCGAGGAAACTTCAAAAAATAAACAAAATCAGAAATGAAACCAAAAACAACGATATTAAGTGATGAAATCCACATAATATTCTATATAAATAATAAGGAGGATTTCAATTAGACAATACTGTATTGTTCTTTGTACAATTTGGCGCTCTGTGTCACACACACACACACACACACACACAGAAACTGAAGTTTTGTGTGAGTTAAAAATAAATGGACTACAGTACAAATTATCGTATAAATAAAAATATACATTTTTATGTAATTAAAAACATACTACTAAGATAAGTATTAAGTAGATTGAAAATATGAATAAAGAAATAGGACATACAGATTAAACCTATAGCAATAAAATTTATACTTAAATAAAGCAGAATAACATCTGAGTTTAAGAGTTGACCTGAGCAACAGACACGTAAAGTGAAAGGTAGTGGTAGTTGGTACCCAACCTTCAAAGTTTTATATGCTGGGAGAAAGGGGTGGGGACCTGGACTTTCCCTGTGATAAATACTTAATATTCGCAGAACGAAATAAAGCAACATTAATGACTACAATAGTAATAATAATGATAATAATAACAAAATACATTGAAAATAGATTGAGATGAAATCGAGTTTTCTACTAAAAAGTAATTCAGTAGTACTAATCTCTTTTCCCTGATGTTTTTTTTGTATGTTGTTTTGTCACGTAAAATAAGAATGAAAAATGCTAAAACTTTGAAAAAAATTAAGCCGATTAAATCAATAAAAATCTAGAAATTTCCAGTATTCGTCTTCTTAAGAACAACAGCTTACAACTTCGTAGGTATCTTCAAATAGTTTAACAAAATGATAATCGACTTTTGAACAATACGGACAAATGATCAAGTTACTATATTGACTAAAATAACTTAATGGGAAAGATTTAATAGTGAGATCATGTGTAGACGACTTATCCTTCATTTCATTGATTTTATTGATTCCTGATTGATCTTGATGGTGGTGATGAGCAGGAGGAGGTAGATAATTCGATGATACGTTCATTATAGTTTCTGTTGATGTCTGCTGTGGTTGTTGTTGCTGTTGTTGTGGGACTGGTGATGAAGAATTCTGAAGAGTTAAGTCATCTAAACGTGATTGACATGAACCACAAGTTAAATGATTTGAACAGCATGGTACTGCAGCGAATATATCATAGGTATAAAGACCGCCAACAAGTAATGATGCCCCTGTAGACAAAATAAACAAAACGGAAGAGAAGAGATAGTTTGAGAACAACATTTAAAAATTAGAAAAAAACGAATAACAGTTTCCCCCAATAAATGAAATATTCCCATTTGTAGTCATAAGAAAAAGATGTCGTGAAGAGCGCGAAGAAAATTTTCTTTTCACCGATTTATTTTCATAAACCTCACAATCGTATTCATATTTAACGAAAAACTCGTATGACGACCAATCAGATACTGTCAAAAACTGTTGTTCTGCGAGTGGATGAATAACTGGAAATTAGAAAAAGGTGCCAGAAGGCAGAATGACGTAATAAGTGTGAGAAAATGACTAATCAGTATGTTTGTGTAGAGTAGACAGAATCTAGTGGAAAGACGATAAAGTGTTTTTATAAAGTCTTTATGAAAACTCAACTTTTAGAAACCGAATTTCCTCAAAAAAATCTAGACAGAAATGTAGAACTTTCTACTGATGCTCACTAGAGGCTACTTGTCCTATTCACTTAGGTAGTTACCTGGGTGAGGTCAAGTGCGAAGTCGTCACCAGTGGGATGGGTACAGCTGATCGGGTGGCAGTGAGGATGAATACTCGCCACTGACGACGTTGGCTAATGTCAGTCGCAGAATTTGGAACTCATGGGCTGGAGACCATTGAGGAGTTAGGTTTCAGTGGCTTAAGGTTATACAAGACCGCATCACAACCGGATGGTGGTGAGTTGGAACCCTGGCGGTAGGTTGGGTGCGTAAAGATTAACAGTCATAAACTAGGCTGACAAACCAATTGGCTGTCCGGTACACCTTCTTGGATTTTCCAAGGGTTCTCTCACCGGTGTCAGTTCATGATGCAATCCTTTAACCAATCAAATGAAAACCCTGCAAACCAAGACATGAATATAAAGTTAATAATTTACACATAATTCTCTCAGTACTTTATTGGATAGAAGAAAGTCACGTGTCATCTTTAAAATGCATAACTTTGTCACATGGACATATCATTAAGAAATCATGCGTGTCAGTGTAAGTGTGTTGTCACGTGATTGATTGTGCCATAAAGAATATATGCAGGTAATAATATCTTTCTCACATGGATAACATAATTCCATTATCATAATTATTTTGTAGTATAGTGTGTATGAATTTAGAAAAACGAAAAATAACAAAATACTCTATTCAAACAAATAACACATTGATACCGGTTGCCCTGGAGATGGCTCGCATAGCCCAGTTGTCCAGTGGCGCTTGAAACAAGGAGTAGTGGGTTTGAATCACGTCGGTAACACCACCAATCAGTAGAAATGTAGGTCATCTAGTTGATGAGCCCCAAATAACAGTGAACAAAGGCATTATTCAACTGGTTAACGACTTTTATGTCAATAAAGTGAAATCTATCATTGACAGAACATGTAAGTACACCTACAGGTGTGTCGGCGTCATGTTGGTAATCTAATATAAGCAAACTAACTCATTATTTGGTTGGTAAAGATTCAGTTAGTTGACATTTATCCCGACGCAAACATCTGTTTATACTCCGGGTTCAGTGGAGACAATCTGAAGAAGTCTGCAGACAGCTGTCCAGCTTCCTGTAATCCACCCTAAGTTTTTTCCTTCAAAATGTCTGCCCTAGACCTTAAGAAAGTGCCAACTGGATAATTTCTAGTCATTTGCGTTTTATTTATCCTGGAGGAATAAATTTTGCCTGCTCAGTTCATTTGCACCTTTCAGCTTCCCGACAGCAAACCTCATAACATTGTACAGTATCACTTCTTCTATAAGCCACTCAGAACTGAATAAATACCCTGCCGATATCACCTCCAACTGCGTTTTTGAATTTACGTGCACTTGCGGAAGCAAGTACATTGGAAGGACAGAAAGGAGGGCTTCTATCCTGTGGTTTTCTGAATATATATTCCAAGAAACCTGGACCTGAAAGGAAGCAAATATTCTCAGAGTGCGATTACCAGACATATTGTTGATACCGGACATCTCGTAGAGATTTCTAAGTCCTTCAAAATATTGAATAGACAAAGGACAGCAAATTTACTACGATTTGCAGAAGCGATCGCAATCGAACGATTTAAACCAACCAGACTTATGCATACAGAAAGGGAGTGTGTTTAACCTCTCACTTACTCCCTTGGTAACTGAATTTTGATTGTGATTACATTAATTGTATTAGTCATCTAATTCAGTGATCTCAAATCACTGAACAAATCTTTATCGCATAAACTGTAACCACCTTTGTTTTTTGAGTTGCTACGTCAACCTACAAGCTAACACTGTTCTGTTAATTAATTTTTATGTTTTCTGTCTTACCCCTCCTCCCTTTTTTCTACTTTGAAAGAGTATAAATTGATGATGAAAACTTAAACTAAAAATTGTAATGCTTTCATACTGGATGCGTCAGTTTTATAGCATTTCATCTCTCCTACCACTTAAACATTAAAGTATGTTATTATCATCATCTACATAACCATTGTAATTTCAGGTAGTGTTATGCAGTTGATGAGAACCTGTGAAATAGAATGATAAAATCATTTTATACTGCAAATTTCATCTTTTTACTTTCTGTATCAAAATTTTTCAAGGGAACTAAATGTTTCTTCCTAGTTCGGGACTCCTCAGCAGTACGCACCCATCGGGATTCGAACCCAGGACCTTCTGGTTACAAGGCGAGTTCGTAGACCAATGAGCCCCTGGGACCCGATCCAATGGTCCTTGAATTCTAACTTCTGCCAGTTCATGACATAGCGCGACCACTTCGCAATGTCTTCTTCGATGAGTTACTGCCTCATCTTCAACCTGCTGTACCCTACTGGTCACGGCTTCCCACTAGCGTACTGATGAGGAGTCCCAAACTAGGACGAAACAGCTGTCCAGTACTCCCAGGTTTTCCAGTGGTTCTCCAACTGATGTCAGCTCATGATTCAATCCTCCATGCAATCAAACAAAATCCCTACAAAAACCAATACTTGGAACTAAATGTATGAAATATTCGATCGGTCAGTCATATAGACTTTTATGTGTTGAAGTACTACACTATGGGAAAATATATATTAGTCGTCTTCCTAGTTCTCAAGTGGTCGATAAGAACGAATCCTGAACCGTCTATTTCCTGGTCACTTCACTAATCAACACATATCGTCAGACTTTTTCAGTATGAATGTACTACATATAACTGGTATCTGATTATTTGTGTTTAATATGGATCTCAAAGCAAAGTTACTCAAAAGAAAATCAGGGTTTTTTATTTATTTAAGATTACAATATTTCTACACATTCTACTTAAAAATAAGGTTGATGGGTTGGTATGTGCTTCATCCAACCCGAGAGCCGATCTCTCAACAAATGTGTAGTAGAAAGTGGAGATGGATCGGGCATACATTGAGGACATCGCACATCAGGCCAATGCCCAAGTGCTATTCCAATCGGAAGCGATGAGTGGGTCGTCAGTGCGAGGGTGACATGGGGGAGGAGATCATGTGGGGGAGAGATGAGAAAGTTTGGTCGATCGTGGATCCAGATGAAGAGGACTGCAGAAAACAGAACAAAGTGGAGATGTATTGTTAAAGCCAGGCCTATGTTCCACATATATTACCAAACGAATGCCAGATATTCAAGTGTTGGTTTGCAGAAGGAACTGATTTGATTGGTCACAAGATTTCATCATGAGCTGATATCGGTTAGGGAACTATTGGAAAACCAGCTGGGAGTACTTGGCAGTCAACTGTTTCATTAGCATAGTTTTGGATTATTCAGCAATATGCACCCACTTCACTGCTAGGGTTTGAACCCACGATCTTCCGGTTACAAGTCAAGCTAGCTTGTAGGCCATTCAGCCACTGGGAACAGACTCTTCAATGGCCATCAGCCCATGAATTCCAAATTCTGCCAGTTCACGCACAATATAGCACGGTGACTGCCGCTAGCTAATGTCATCATTGGCGAGTATTTTCTATTACTCATGCCTGACCAGCTATACTTCAATGACCAAGACTTCTCACCAGAACCCACCCAAGTAACCACCTGCCTGAATAGGATCAGAAGTCGTTAGTGAGCATGAGATTGATATCCAAGTGTCTGTTTGCAGGTATTTGATTGGTTATAAGATGCATTTTTGAAAAGGTGAAGATGAAATACTCTCTAGATGACTATTTAGCCATATCATCTTGAAGGCATCTGTAAGGAATAGTGACCAAAACGGACGACCTACGAAATTAAAATTAAACAAGCAACTAGATTGTTTCCATATTATAACTTGAATGTTTTTCATGAGACAGAACTAACGCTTCTCTTCTGACGTTATTTTCAATTAGGCCTTATGATTAAGCTTAGAAGCGGGAATGGCTATCAGAACGCCGTGATATGTGCTGTCTGCCTTTGTATCACGTGACTATGTTTAATTCATAGTCCGAGGGTCATTTGGTAGGCCGTTCGTTGGTTTAGGTCGCTACTCCTCATATAGTTGCTAATGCTCATTTTCTTCTAGTTTACTTACGAAATGCATGCAGATATATTCTGTGAATTGTTCTGCTTCATCAGAATACCCAAAGCTACTTGCTAACTTCACCTTTCATTTTAGATATGGTTAGGATTAATTTTTCTAGAATAAGCATTTCGAATCTTTCTGGTAAACTCAACCTTCCTGGTAAGCCCAACCTTTCCTCTCTACAGGCGTTACTGCTGGCTTAGAGAGGTTTGGAAGTGTATCGAAGCTAGATTGGGCTCCGGACCACGTTAGGCATGGTTGGCGAGCGTTCTGCCGCTGAACAGTCGATGCACCAAAAAAGAGCTCCCGGGCCGTCTGAGTGACAGTTAGTAACACTAGCCACTACACCATGCGCTATGGAAACCAGGGAGTACTGTATAAGTGTTTCATCAGTCTACTTTGGGACTCATCGCCACTATGCACTCAGAGCTAGAGTTGGAACCCTACAGCTTCCCGTTACAGGGGAAGCGAGGTTATAGACATTCAACCCGTAAGACTTAAGAACTCACATGAAATACATTTCCTTTAGGAGTCTTAATTTTCTTCTGTAGACATGTTTAACTGACCACAATACAAGCTTCACTCTATTGTTTGATGGATTCAGTCTACAAAACAATGACCAGTATAGTTATCATATATTACATGATTGAAGGCGATCGGTAGAAAGAATTGGACACCAACCACTTGAAACTTAACAGTCAGCAAGGCGCATCTGCAACCACCTTGAAGGAATTCATATCCCTTCTGAGAGTTTCGAACCCGCGTCACCACCCAGTACTACAGTTAAAGAGAGAGAGAGAGACATGTTACTACTGAGATATTGGGCTTGGCAATTTGCCCCCCCCCACTCTAGAACTCTGCTGGATACGTTGATTGAACACTTGTTACTAACTAGTATCTCATCAAAGAGTTATCATATACCTAGATGACCAAATAATGGTTTCAAAAGACACTTAGAATGTTGTCTACTATTAGAGTTCAATTCACGCAAGCAATTTCAATCATCAGTCTTTAAGAAAAAGACAGACATACTACTAACTTAGAGAGAACATATTTTCGCCTTTTACGACCTATTTAAGTGACATTAGTCTAGCAGACATGTAACCCAATGCATGTGCCTACACACACACACACACACACACACACAAACAGACAGATATATGTACATTAGCAGACTATCCATCGATGATTATAAACAAGAGTGAGTCACTAGAGAACCTAGATTGCATCATATTTAATATAAGTGACTCACACTGAAAGCAAAAAATCTTCTACTGAAAAGCGATACAAAAATAAAAAAATTCAGACAGAAAGAGAGAAATACCCTAGTAAAAACGAAGCAGAAATAAAAAGGTTACGTGACCTTAACTTGACCTCAAATAATAATTTTGTAGACAAAGTGAACTTTACAGTCTAGTGATTTTTAGACTGGTTTTTTTTGTTAAATTTAATCACAGTTGAAAGACTATTAATAATGAGAAGAATAATATAAAGTGTAGACAGATGTGAAGAAAGCAGAATAGATTTAAAATTCTGCGTTAAATCTTCCTCGGCTTAAACTTAATAGTGTGTGTTGATAGACATACCTTTTGATGATATTAGACAGTTGGAGGCTATCGGCAGGAAGTCCAGCCTTCGACCTAGGTTTCGTGCTAGTTGGCACTCACACTGGTCAGCAAGGCGTATCTGCAACTGCCTTGAAGGAACTCATGTCCCTTCTGAGATTCGAACCCACGTCATTACCCAGTGCTGCTTGCAGTCAGAGACGTTACCACTGAGCTATTCGGGCTTTCGATTGACCTCCTGTAGGACTGTAGTGGGTATTTTGATTGGACACTAGTAAGTAGTGTGTTTCCAACTATCTGATGTCATCAAATCAATGTGCACTGTGATGACGAGAGCTACCTAGTGGCATGGTGGCCACATTGTAAAACCTGACTGATAGAATTCAGTCTACACCAAAGAAAGAACTAGACACGTCACACTAGTTACTAACGTTCAATCAATAGACATACCCTTTATTTTTAGTAAAGTTAAACTTTAAGCACCAGTAAGTACCTCTAGACAAATGTCCACCTTGGACGCATCAAACAAATGCATAAAGGCAATTTTTGCGAATAGAAGACATGCCTTCATGGAAATAATAGATTAAAAGGCATGAGACTATTACACAGGATACCTTTGTCTGATGTATGATTGAAATACCTCTCTCTGAGTTTTGGAGTGAATTATCAACAGAGTAATTTAACTACGTACTATGCATGTAGTGCACTGAAAAGTCGACAGATACCCCCTTCTCATGTTAACAACTCCAACTGTGTATACAAATTTACGTGTATCTGCGGGAACAGTTACATTGGAAGGAACAGAGAGAAGAAGGCTACACCTTTGATTTTCTGAACATGTGCCGAAAAGCCTACGTCTCCAGCAAGGAATAAACTCTTATATAATAACGCCATTACCAGACATCTCCTTGATAAGGGTTATGACGTAGGTAGAAATCGCGAAATCCTTTAAAATTATCAATAGACAAGAGAGCTCGATTCTCCTCAAGAAATTTCTGTCAAACGCCTGAAACCTGATTTATGCATTCAGAAAGAAGCAGTTAGTAGTCTTTCCTTGCACTGGTAACTGGATGTTTCTATTCTCTAATTTGGCTTTAACTTCATCGCCCCCCCCCACCGTTTTATAATTCGTAATTTTTCTTGTCTCTTGTTTCTATGATTTGAGTCGAACTCAGTACATTGGTACCTAATTTATTAGTAGTCATTTAGCATCTTACACATCTCTCATCCTTATTATGTAACTCCTTCACCATTGTATGCATATATTTATCTTGTTTAAACTTGAACTGCCTGAGTAAAACTATATAAGCGCAATTTTCTGGGCACTGTTTACTAATTGCGAAACATTCTGTCAACTGACATCATGTTTAAAATATTTTGCAGGTATGTTAAAACTTTTCTGTATATAAACCGCATGATATATTTAGGCTGTTAGCAGCAGCTGATGAGAAGCCAACGAAATAGGCGATGATGGTACCATATTATTCTGCACAAACTACTGTTATTCTTGCTTTATTCAGATTCATCAAAGGGAATAAATACATAAAGCACGTTATTATTTGGGTTACCTAACCGTAAAAATAATAATTCTAAGGTTTCCTTAAGTTAACCCTTACATCAAAAATAACCCTAAGCTAATCCTAATCTAACTCGAACCAACCAGAATGTCGCCTTAATTAGGTTGACCTAACCCTAACCTGTTCCTAGCTTAAACCTTGACTTAATCTTCCCCACAGCCTAACCTGAAACACTTGCCAGATATCCCATCTAAATAACATTGTGGTGAGAGCAGGCCGTGAGAAAATATGAGCAAGGCTGATTCAACAGCCAATCACAGCAAAGTTAACGTGGCAAAATATGATTCGCAGATAGAGAACTCTATTTGTCGAGGAATCCCGAAACAACCAATCAGAAGCCTGCGTTTGTCTGCCTAACTTCTGATAAACAACCAATCAGATGACTGCGCTTGTCTACTTGCATTAGCTATAATAATGTATGTGAGGTCGCACTCAACTGGTGTACATATTGGTCCTTACAGTTTCACTTGGCCTGAATTTCACCTTAGAAGCTAAAGTCTTTGTTGTCTGATTCAGTTGTGTGAGTATATTAGTCATCGCCAAAGGCAAACTCACCTCCCTTTTGGTTTCCACCTCTTTGATATGACAGGGTAGAGGCGGTGAACTACAATTTGAATTTCCCCATACAGTTGATCTTGCGTAATCTTGTATCAAGTTTTATAACATCTGGTTGTTTTAAAGATATTCAATCTCTTTACATACAGCAGGAGTACTTTTTCGTGAAGACCGCAATACAGTGGGCGAAAACACCTTACGAGTACTCTGATACTCTCACCCTTGATTTAACATTCAGAAGTACCATTTTATTTTACTCATAGAAGAATTTGGATGAAGATTCTTGGGCAACACCAACAGCAGCAACAACAACAACAGGCAACAATCAGCATAAATGGGAGGAACCTCAAAGAAACAACCTCCTTTACCTAACCACCTACCTGGAGAGCATCGTTTCAACTACAGGCAGAACTGACGAGGACATCAAAGCAGCAAGGATCGGGAAAGTAAGGCAAGCCTTTATTACTCTCAAGTCTGTGTGGAAGTTAAAAGCACTCCTCAGCATGACAAATAAGAACCGGAGTTTCCCCTTCAATGTGAAGTCAGTGCTACTATACGGATCAGAGACTTGGCACCGTGTCATGAAGAGCACTTCAAACTAACTACAGACTTTCATCAATAGCTGTCTTCGCTCAATACTTCTCTCGAGATCAGATGGCCAGAAAAGACCATCAGTAGTGACCTCTGGAAGCGAGCCAACCGAGTAGGAACCGATCGCGCAACAAATGTGCAGGAAGAAATGGAGGTGGATTGGAGGCCATACTCTGAGGAAACAAGCCATTGCTCGAGTGGACCCCGAAAGGGAAGCGGCGAATTGGTCGTGAGTGCGAGTGTGACATGGAGGAGGTCATATGAAGAGGGGATGAAAGCATGTGGGTAGATGTGGAGCCAGGTGAATACGTTGGCAGAGAACCGAACGCAGTGGAGACGTGCGGCTGAAGCCCTATGTTCCTCTAGGAATTAAAGGAAATAATAACAAATAAAAGAATTTGAGCATTCTGTTTTATACAAACAGACAGAAGTCATCAGTTTCCGGTCTAATTCGCAGATAACATTACACTGTAGAAGAAAGTGACACTTTTAAATTTCAACACATTCGAGGCAAGGCATAACCTCATTATTTTATTGTATTCTTGTACTTCCCAAGTAGATCATAGGACGGGTTCAACCTAGAGCTTTGAAAATCCAGTGGCAGTGTTTTGTACTTTTGTCTGGTAGAGGGAGAGCTTCTGTCCTCACTCTCAGCCTTCTCCCTCTCTGCAAGACCTACTGCCAGCTTAGAGAAGTTTGAAAGTGCTTTGGCCGAGAATCGAAACCAGGACCATTTGTAGCGTGGTTGGCGACCATTCTATCGCTTAACCCCGGCGCACCTGATCCTAAAATCTAAGTCTAGCATACTTCCCTCTTTGAAAGACAACAAAGATTTATAGCTCAGATGGTGTGGTTCCTGGTGTTGTTGCGTTTTCTGAGGTGGAATGTTTAATTGTGGTGTTTACGTTGTTCCCCTAGACAACATCCTCAACGATAGCTATCTTCATTATGAAGTGAGCTTTAAAATTCTTAGCGAATGGAATAACCACCTTCCCCAATGATCTTGAATATCACTGAGTCATCCGGAGTCATTCTTATCCTTGAGAACACAACATCAACGAAAACTGTCCCAATCTATATTTAGTCACATGTTGGGTTTGACACAGAAGTCTACTCATTCAGGCCATACATAGGAGGGGATAGGAGGGGATCTGATAGCTTTTACTTCATATGCCAATGTGTACATCATCCCTACTGCGTTCTGCAAACACCTAATAATTAATTTGGATTTGCTGACTTATACTCATTCGTCTAACTCAGATATTGATTACTGGGTGACTAACTCTGTTGACCTTCACCGGTTACTTACTATTGGTATCTACAATGAGGGGGTATTTTTATCCTACCTCTTCATTTTCACCGGTTTACGGCATAGGTACTTCATTGATGATACGACTCAAAGATCTTGTCCATTTCAGTAAACATCAAGCTAGTTCTCACTTACGACATAAAAGTCAGCGATCCTATCCGACTGACCTATCTCTACAGGTGAATCAGACTTCAGATGAATGACTGGTATTAATTGAAGCATTCGCAAGAGAAGCCGAGCACTTTACGCCCATCATCAATCAATGGGAAAGTCCAAATTTGATTAAATAATAACTGGTCTAGTGGATAACCCGCCTTGGCATTCGAAACTATGGATCCTTGGTTCCAGCCTGGGAGGGAACACTTTCACTGACTCATTGAAGAATGCATGTACATCCAGAGCGTCATGAGCCAGTCCAACATAGGAAAAAATGCGCACTGTTCTGGATTCCACTGCTAGTCACCCTCCATCAAATTAATTCAAGATATCTTTACGAGTTGATCAAGCATTGATATCAGTTAGAGAACCAGTGTAAACCAGGACCCAGGACCTTTCAGTTACAAGGCAAGCTCGTATACCATTCAGCCACTGGGACCCGATTCAATGGCCAGTCCATGAATTCTAACTTCTACCAATTCGTGATTTAGCGTGACCCCAACCAGTGTCGTCGGTGGGACATCCATCCTCACATGTGACATCTGGATGGACCTCACAGGTCACGACTTCTCAGGAGAACTCCAAGAAACTCCATCCTGTATCAAGTCACTAGAGAGCATCAGATTAATTTTCTATAGTTTGGTTTGTAAGGGCTAATTTTGTTTTTTACAAGTTGATCACGGATTGATATCAGTTAGAGGACCATTGAAAACCAGCCAGGGAGTACTGAACAGCCAGCTGTTTCATCCTAGTTTGAGAATCATCGGCAGTAGGCACCCATTGGGATCCAACTTATAAAGACATAACTAACCCTTACAAACCAAACTATAGAAAATCAGTTGAAGATGACTAATTAGTCGAAAATTCCATCATGTAGTATTTCACACCATTCACCTGGATGTCACCGTCTAAGACAAATTCCAGTATATCTAAGAAATAGGAAGTCAACCACTCTGACTATACCTCACAGTATAAGGTACTTTGGAATGGTGTTCAGCGGAATATCTATTCTTTCCATTTTTGTAGAGGTTCCGACTGGAAGACAGGGCCTTCAAGCTACAGCTTTGAGGTTTCGGTAGCTGTGGTGTTCTTTATATTTACCTGGGAGGGGAGGATTGCCAGCCACCCGCCTTACTACCAGCTTATCGAGGTGTGGCAGTGTCTTTTCTGGCCAGGGGTCGAACCATCCTACCACACATATCAGTGGTGAAATAATCATTTTTCCTGAAGAATAAATCATTGACAAAACAATAAACCTCCATCAAAACTTACCAGACCAAAGTTTACCACACACTTTACACCTTATACATTTTACATCGCCTAACTTGTTGTTTGAAATCAAATCTTCTGTATGCATACAATTCATACATAAGGCATGCAAATAACGTCCCTGTCTCGTCGATGTGGTAATGGAGGAATATCTCGATGAGGATAATACTGATGAGGACGACGTTGAATTTGACAGTAAACTGTTTTGATCCGACGTAATCATATTAATCATATTGTTATGCTGTACTGAATTCAATTGTTGCCGTGGTCCAAGACAACCAGGCGGTGGTGACATAATCTTCAAAGGGGCTAACAGTTTCAGCGCTATCTTATTGATATTTTGGTAATCATTTGTTGAAGAGATCAAATTATTATTACTATTATTAGTATTAGTACTGTTATTATTATTATTGTTATTGTTAGTGTTATTGAAATTTGAAGTACGATTAGCTTGTTGCTGTTGCTGTTGTTGACTTTGTTGTTGTTGTGGTGGTGGTGGTATTGATTGATTTTGTATACCATTTGTATGCCAAGTCACTCGTAGACCTCCACCTTTACGATAACCCTCTGTGGAACGATGACATAATGGACTAATGAAAAAGATACCATCAATCACAGGAAAATGATCATAAACTGGTAACATCTGTTGACAGGCTAGACAATATACCTCAGAGACACGATGATTAGTCAGCTGAGCAAGGAGAAATGCTCGTGTATCTTCATTCCCTGTACAACTATCATCATCCATTTGAATAAAATATGCATTCTGTTTATAATTTGGAAGTTTCTAAAAAGTGGAAAAATATTATAAAAGAAATGGAGAAATAAAGTATTAATTAGTCGATTACAAGTTGAAGCTTATACTACTTATTTACAGTTCTCATAAGTAGTAGTAGTAGTAGTTGATGTGGGGATTAACTCTATTGTGAAATAAAAACCTAGTTTAAAATTCCTAATCAATACAATTCAGGTCAGATTCGATCATCATTCATTAAATGACGACCAGTATGATAAATCCTTCCCACCCAGCATTCTAAATTCTAACATTTCTTGATTTTAGAGTGACTGGCACGCACCAGCCAGTGTCATCTCTGGAGAGTATTTTTCCTCACTACAACCCGACGAGATTGACTCACCTAGTCCCGGTGGGTAGTCCCTGATTTCCAAAAGTTCTCTAACTGATGTCAGTCCGTGATCAAACCAGAAATATTACTCAGTTCAACATTTTGACCTCATCGATGAATTCATGTTCTTCTTTTCTTATAAATGTACATCTGATATTAAGATGGTTCAGCTATTTTTCTTACTGAAAATAGGAGATGAGGTTTTAAGTGCTTGCAATACGAAAAATAGCTCTAAGTTGGTCCCAATTATCATCATTCACACGTGTAATGCAACACCTAATAGGGTGAAAAGGGTGATGAGTGAAGGTGAAATAGAAGTCTGGGTTGTGGAAGGATTCGAAACGCTGGCCTCTGTTTAGCTCGACCAGATGAACTATGAAAAACCCAACGACTAACTAGTTCTCACTGTCAGCTATTTAAAACAACCGCAGCAATAATTAGTGGATGATGATTAGCAGTGGAATAGAGGATAAAGCGCATTTCGTCCTATTTGGGACTTGCCAGTCCCTGGATGTATCTGCATGCCTCAGTGAGTGATGATGTTCCCACCGAGGCTCGAACCCAGTGACCATGGTTACCAACGCTAAAGAGTTATCCACTAGACCAGTTGGGCGACGAGAGCCACCTCTTGTGCAACAGGTCATATGAAATGTCTAATTCAATTTTAGATTTCCCGTCAACTAGTTGATTGGACCGAAGTGCTCGGTCTCAGGTTGACATGTCTGTTGGCTTCTTGTGAAGATGCTTCATCACTCACTGAGGAATGCAGGTACATCCAGTGACTGACGAGTCCCAAATAGAACGAAATGCGCATCTTGGATTCCACTGCTAGTCATCACCCACCAATTAACTTCTAATTACATGACCAGGCATTGTCGAAGCATCTGCACAAGAAGCTGACATGTCAACCTGGGACCGAGCACTTCGGTCCAATCAATCAGTGGACGGGAAAACTTAATATTCAAGCGTGTTTAAGAAAAAATCAAAACAAGATTTTTCTAAACTTTTGGTTGTGTAAAGTATCTTCAGTTTATGTAATTTTTTTTGACTGTGTATTTCGATGATTAATAAAATCCAGATAATTCTTCTGTAGAAGAAGCAGTGGCGTACACAAAGAAACGTTCAAAACAAAGCCTGGCTTTGATTTTTGTCCTAAACATTCAGGGAATATTTTAAATAATTTATAATGATTCAATCTAATTCGGCGCTCAGATTATTCCAGGAAATTAGTAATATCTAAAATTGAATTAAACATTTATTATGACCCGTTGCACAAGAGGTGGCTCTCGTCGCCCAACTAGTCTAGTGGATAACTCTTTAGCGTTGGTAACCATGGTCACTGGGTTCGAGCCTCGGTGGGAACATAATCACTCACTGAGGCATGCAGATACATCCAGGGACTGGCAAGTCCCAAATAGGACGAAATGCGCTTTATCCTCTATTCCACTGCTAGTCATCATCCACTAATTATTGCTGCGGTTGTTTTAAATAGCTGACAGTGAGAACTAGTTAGTCGTTGGATTTTTCATAGTTCATCTGGTCGAGCTAAACAGAGGCCAGCGTTTCGAATCCTTCCACAACCCAGACTTCCATTTCACCTTCATTCATCACCCTTTTCACCCTATTAGGTGTTGCATTACACGTGTGAATGATGATAATTGGGACCAACTTAGAGCTATTTTCCGTATTGCAAGCACTTAAAACCTCATCTCCTATCTTCGGTAAGAAAAATAACTGAACCATCTTAATATCAGATGTACATTTATAAGAAAAGAAGAACATGAATTCATCGATGAGGTCAAAATGTTGAACTGAGTAATATTTCTGGTTTGATCACGGACTGACATCAGTAAGAGAACCATGGAAAACTAGGGACTACCCACCGGGACTATCTTGGTCTACCTCGTTGGGTTGTAGTGAGGACTAGTACTCTCCAGAGATGACACTGGCTGGTGCGTGCCAGTCTCTCTAAAATCAAGAATTGACAGAAGTTTGAATTCATCGGCTGGTGACCATTGAAGAGTCAAGTCTTATTGGCTGAATGCTATATGAGTTAGCTTTATGAGTAACCCCACCCCCTGGCTGATGAAACAGCTAGCTCTCCAGTACTCGTTGTGGCTAGTTTTCAATGGTTTCCTAACTATTATCAATCCGTGATCAAAAATTTGAAAAAAAACAAAAACAAATCAAATCCCTTCAGATAAATTCATGATAAGTAATATTTATCGATAAACTATGATATCTGGCAAACTCCAGCTGTAAATCTACACTAAGAAGTGATCGATGAAGTTAATGTTTATTGTACTGAATTAGTCAAGACAGTGTGAATCTCAAAAATGCAGTCTTCATCACATATAATGATGTGTTAAAGGGACATTTTCAAGTATTGGTTTTGTAGGGAATATTTTGTTTGATTGCATGGAGGATTTCATTATGAGCTGACATCACTTAGAGAACCACTGGATAACCTGGGAGTACTGGGCAGCTGTTTCGCCCTAGTTTGAGACTCTTTAGTGGTCCATACCCGCTGGGGTTCGAACCTAGGACCTTCTGGTTACAAGGTGAGCTAGCTCGTAGACCATTACTTAAGCTGGTGTTCCTCAAGGTGCTGTCCTTTCTCCCTTTCTGTTCTCGTTTTTCTTACATGACTTGCCTCATTCTGATGTAGCCACTTTTGTTAAGTATGCTTGCCGATGACCTCTCGGTTTCTATGCCTGTCAACTCTCAGTCAGATTGTTCCAAATTAAATAGCTTTCTGTCGGAAATTAGTCAGTGGTCCTCTTCAAACGGACTTAAGCTTAATCTGTCTAAATGTCAGGTAGTCAATTTCACTTTCAGACGTAAACGTGACCTACAGCAACTAGTTAGCTCAAATGGCCCCACTCTCATTGACGGCACAGAGGTTGAAAATACATCTAATGTCAAGTACCTTGGGCTGAGTTTTTCCACCGATCTTTCCTGGCCTTCCCACATCTTGCTAGTTACTAGAAAGATGTTTCGCTTAACGTTCTACATTAGGAAATTTAGGCAGTCTGGTATAAAGCAATCTTTACTTTCTCAGTTTGTAAATTCTTGTATTCTACCCATCCTCCTTTACTGCTCCCCATTAGTCTTTCCTGGACTACTTAAGAAAGACTTTGCTTCGCTGAGAAGGGCACTAAAAGCTGTTGGTAGGGCAAGTGGGATATCGTTAAACCGACTGGTGAACACTATTGTAGATAGACATATTATGTCATGTAAGAAACTAGCGAATACAATATTGTCGGACCCCGAGCATCCTCTCTATACGCATCTATCTCCTTGCATTTCATCTGGTAGAACTAGAAGCAGCTATAGGCGGCTATATGCTAGGACTACCAAATACAAAACTCCACAATACCATATCTGGCACAGCTGTTATGTGATGAGAAATCCGTTAGGTATGACACGATAAACTTACTGCAGCACTCTAACAAATAGTCCCATTAGTTTTTGTTTTCCTTTCCTCGTTACTACTACACTGTTGTTCTCATCTACTACCACACATCAACTTTATATTTCAAATCCTGTGGTGCATTGTTTGAAATGAAATACTCTACGCTGTTTTTTCTTAATTTTTAATTTTTATTTATTTTATTTATTTATAACTTATTTAATTTTTATTTATTTATCTTTGATTTTTAAAAATCTTATATAATTTATGAGGTAATTAGATGCAATATACTGTAATGCACGCTGAAAATTCCATACCTGTACCACAAATACCGTTTGGAATAAAGCTGTTATTATTATTATTATTAAGCAGACACTGAGACCCGATTTAATGTCCAACTCATGAATTCTAACTTCTGCCAATTCACGATATAGCGCAACCATTTCACAATGTCTTCTTTGATAATGAGTTACTGTCTGATCTTCAACCCGCTGTACTCTACAAAACCAATACTTGAAAATTAATCTGATGCTCACTAGCTAGCGGCTGGCCCTATTCAGGCAGTTAACATGAGATTCTAGTGGGAAACCGTGACCAGTAGGCTACAGGAGATTGAAGATGACTCAGTAACTCATCGAATAAAACATTAAGAAATGGTCGCACTGCGTCCTGAATTGGCAGAAGTTAGAATTCAAGGATCATTAGATCGGGTCCCAGTGGCTCAATGGTCTACGAGCTCGCCTTGTAATCAGAAGGTCGTGGGTTAGAACCCCGGTGGGTGGATACTGCTGAATAGTCCCAAACTAGGACGAAACGGCTGTCAAATACTCCCCGCAAGTTTTCCAATGGTTCTCTAACTGATGTCAACTCATGATGATATCCTCCATGCAATCAAAGGGACATTTCACACACACACACACACGGAAAAAATAAAACCAACTCACCGTGAATACGTTGAAATCACGACGTTGTAGAAAGATATTCCCCTTAGTATTGACAGTTTTTCTACCCTTTGTATCTGTACTATTATTATTATTGCTATTATTATTATTACTATTATTATGCCAATGACTGATTCTTGACTTATTCGTTAATGATTCATTTGTCCAGGCGGAACTTGATTTAAAATTATTATTATTATTATTAACGATGCTATTATTATTATTATTGTTCATTGTATTAGTTGTATTACTTGTATTTGTACTACTTAAAGTTGAAGATGTTGAATGATGTCGTCGACTGCCGATAACAGAAATTGGTCTGCTCATAGTGTTATGATTATTGGCGTTGCTAGTGGTATCATTGTTACTATTATTATTATTATTATTACTTCTAATGTCATTATGACTGTTGACGGCATTATTGCTATTATTACTACTGGGGTTATTCACAATAGTAGCATCTAAACTTGTATCGAAAGTCTCATCGAAACTGATACTTGAACCAGCTCTTCGTCTTGTGGAGGCTGTTGATAATGATGTGGATTCTGTAGGCATGGAGGTTAACAACAAATCAGCTGGACGTTGAAGTAGGTCATTCATTGGATTTGTTTCTATTACGTTGAAAATTTGAAAAAAGAAATGAGAAATTTAAATACCAAGAGAAAAAGATTAAACATTGAAAAAGTTAACAAAAGAAGTAAAACGACCGTGTCTTCTTCATCACAAGGGGGAACTAACTATTTTAGCTGATGTTTAACTCAAAGATAGTCAACTAGTGTTGTAGAATATATATACTTTGAAACTTAAGAGCAACAAAGAATGAGGGCTTAGGATTTCATCATGAGATGACGTCGGTTAAAGAACCATTGAAAACCAGCCACAAGGAATTCTGGACAGCTAACTGTTTTATCAGGCTAGTTTAAGACTCGAATTTGTGGAATTCGGAATTCATGGATCAGCTATTAGGAAGTCGGGTTCCAACAGCTGAATGGTCTATGAGCTAGCTTGTCTTGCAATGTGAAGGTCGTGGTTTCAAGCAACTAGTAATTTTACTGCAATAATTACAAGCTTGACCATGGATTCATATGAGTTTGAGAACCAATGAGAACCAGAAGAAAGTACTGGACAGCTTGTTGTTTCATGAGCCTACTTTGGGACTTACTGCTTGCTTATCAACAAGTTTGTCGAACGATTTCCCCTCCTCCTTACCTAGTACTCGACTGAAGACTAACCTCAATATTAATCACCCTAGTAATTTTTGTATTCCTTTATGTTCCCAGTGGAACACAGTGCTTCAAGCTAGACACTTGAAGTTTCGACAGGAGTGGTGTTTATTTTTACTGGTTGGGGTTGTTAGACTCATGCACAACTTTCCCTCCTTATCAGTCTTATTACTGGCTTAGTGAAGTAAACGCGTGCGTCGACAGTAGTATACCCTACTTTACCACCACCTAACACATTCGGGAAGTAGATAGAACGCAGACACCTATGATGAAATACAGCTAGCCAGGTTTCTCATACGTTCCACTTTCAATCAACATGTCTGACAGACACAAAGGAGGACAGAGTGAGGTGACTACTGAGCAGTACACACGTTTGTCCTTCGGTTGACAACCAATCAGCTAGCCAGAGATGGCATGAGCTGGCAAACGTCAGATGAGCCTTCTGTATCTTTGCTAAGGTTTTGTCAACGATCAATTCGCTGGGGACGGCTGATGCAGCTTTTCAAATAATTGTGAAGTGGCCAATATGCTCCACCAACCACTTCACTACTGCTTCCCTATCTTTAAGCTAGAAGTTAGTTGATGTAATCCAGTTCAGCCCTGTAGCATCATTTTACATTTGACAGGAGTGAATCACACGGCAAACGTTCGAAGATTGTTGCTCAGCTCAAGGTGTTCAGAAGACTCTGCATTTTGTCAGAGCAGCCCACAACTACTCATCTCATTCATTCAGTCAGTCAGTAGAATATAGTTTGATGCATCTATGCTTGGCTTCATGATTGCCATGATTGAAAATTTAGAATTTGATCTCACTTTACAATAGTTGTTCAGTCTATCACTATTTGTGATTAACTTATCAGAATTTAAGTCACATAACTGAACGATTCACTTCAAAGTAAGGTGAATGTGAGAAAATTAACCTTCAGATTTCATATCCATTTTAGCTGTTTAAAGTCGATCGAAATTGTGAAGTCAGTTAAAATTGACGGAAATTTCAGTATAGATTTCATTGCTTACTGACATCGGTTATAGAAGCCCTGCATCACCAAATGTTGGTCTAGTTTAAGACTTTTTAACAACGCGCATGAAGCATTGCATCAAGAATCAAACCCAAGACCTTCAGATTACGATGCTTGTTCATTGACAACTTAATCATTGCACTAGTTGGAAATAATCCATAGATAGATGAATCTTTTCTCCTGTCTGTTTGTGATCTGACGCCACTGTTAACCAAGGAGCGCCACCTCAGTGAGCATCCAGTTCAAACTACCTAAATATTCTCATTACGACATACTCCAATAATATCATTGATATAAGAATAAGACTTGTACGGAGTGCATGGATTATAATTCCATTATGGGTAGAATTTATTTTGATTAAGTCTCACAGTGTTATACAGTGGTACTTACCGATGACTTTTCGACCACAATTGATCACTGCTCACAATGTCATATCAAGGTACTCACACGACTTTTACAATTAATAATTGTGATACTAATAATGATAAGAGAGAATGTAAGGCATCTGCTCTTATACCATCTAAGGAGGGGACATCTGAGACCCTCCCTACGTAGGATTCTTAATAAAGCAGGAATTAGAGTGGCATTTAAACCTACAAACTCACTCAGAGACAAGCGCTGTGGGTTAAGGCACCCAGCTGACGCAATTAGACAAAATAATATAATTTACAAAATACCCTGCAATGACTGTGAGTGGGGTCAACTGCATAGGTCAAACTACTAGGTCGAGGTAGTCAGATTGTTGGAACATAAAAATCTACCTAAGGCAACAATGGTTGACTCCAAGAAGATAAGTAATCTAGAAAAAAGCTCAGCACTGCATTGCATTCCATGCATTAACACACAACCAACCAATAGGGTGGGAGAGGGCTAAAATTCTAAGAAGTAATATAGGTAGGTGGAGAGAGAGAGAGAGAGGTGGATTACTGAATCCTTGTTCATCGAGTCTGCACCCAACAAGTGCAATAGGAATGACTCATCACTCATACCGGAAATATGGAAAGTACTATTACCAATCAGATGAAATATTGGAAAATAATGGAATTATATAAACGAAGTTAGAAAGTTGTGTGAGTAATGCCTTGATATGATTATGGGCAGTACTCCCATAATAACCTGAAAGTCCTAGTTCATATACCTTGTGATAAAATCTTCACTGTTATTTCTTGGTAAAAATGTCGATTTGTTAACAGGTCAAGAAATCCAGTGAAGTAACAAAAATGGTAGACTGATCTTTATCAGTCTAAATATAGAGTTTTGAGGCTTTTTCATTACAAATGTGGCATGTGCTACTGACAAGAATTATCAGTAGTATATAGATGCAGATTGATAAGAAGTAGCCAAAATTGAAGAGACAACATTTTAGATGACAATGACTACAGAAGCGGGAGGAAGTGTTTATTTCTTAAATCTGGATCTAGCTTATGCTACAGTCAGGAAATAATCTCAGGGTTTAACCTTCAGGAAATCAACAATAAATCACAACAATTTATTATCCTCTAACCTAGCCAATCAGAAATGTAGAAAATCAAAACAAGTGATTCAGTGAAGTGACAAAAAGATGGTATTGCAATGGGTTCTCCCTTGGGTCCTCTTCTTGCAAACTGTTTTATGGCCACTCTAGAAAATGGTCAGTTGAAGTCAACAATCCAAAGCTTTCATATGTTTAAAAGGTATGTAGATGACAACTTTATTATTTGTAATAGTGATTGTAATTTGAATAATATATTAAATGCATTTAATGGTTGCCATCCACTCGAAATGGAGAACGAGTCAAGTATTCATGTTATCGGTGTGAATTTATCTAGGAGGACCAATGGAACTCTGAAGAGATCGATTTATTGAAAGCTGTCAAGGAATGGTCAGCTGGCAAATTTCTACATCTGGGTACCCAGTGGTCGGAAATGCAACCTGGTCCAGTCGCTTGCTACTCGCATTTGGCGCATATGTAGCCCTGATACTGTGGAGGGTGAGGAAAATCTTTTGAGGAAAATCCTAATAGAAAATGGATTTCCACCACGCTTTATAGACAAGAATATACATACAAATCCTATGAAACGTGACTTATCATCCGCACCCAAGAGAATATTGTACATTAGTTTGGAATTCATAGGTGACTTGGCTTCCGATATCATGAAAAGAAGGATATCACAGTCGCTGAAAAATACATTCCCTGCTGCATCTTTGAGAATAGGCCTTACCAATCGACCATTACTGTTCAATAACCTGAAGGACAAGATCCCTCTGTTGACCAACTCTACGTGTGCTTATCAATTCACCTACTCATGTGGAGCTAGGTGTATCGGTAGTTCGACTTGAGTTCTACCCAAGAGGGTGCAAGAACACTATCCTGCATGGTTACGAAGAGGTGGAAGTGGAGCAATAAGAAGCGTGATCATTGAACATCTGGTCGATAATGGTCACTCTATCTCTACAGCCTCCGCCTTTAAAGTTATCTACAAGGCAAAAAGTAATTTACCCAAATCACTATGTACTCGACTCATCTGTTGCATTGCTGAAGCTTTAGCTATCGAAACAGAAAAGCCAGATCTCTGTGAACAGAAAAAGTTCGTTCAACCCCTTCAACTTTCATGGTCTTAATCCCTCTATGCTGAAGTATGGTAATCTCCAATCATATTTTGGCTCTACCAATTTTTTTTTCATTTTGTCTATTCAATTTGTATACTCCTCCCTTACTACGTCAATTGTTACTATTACTACTCTCACTTTGAAATGTCCCCCGTATTATTTCACTCATTCCACTTGTCACTCGAAATCAATTTTGTTTTGTGACGTTAAATTCCATGTTATCGAATTTCACACGATGTTATGTAACGTTTTTACTTTATTCGATTTGCCTACTAATCCTATAATTGCACACCCCTTCCAAGTTCTATACATCCTATGAATTATTTTATATATATATGACATTAATTGTTTCGCCAATTGATATTTTCAAGTATTGCTTTGTAGGGATTTTGTTTGATTGTATGGAGGATCTCATCATGAGCTTATATCAGTTAGAGAACCACTGGAAAACCAGCTGGGAGTACTGGACAACTGTTTCGTCAGCCTAGTTTGGGACTCTTCAGCAGTACCCACCCACCGGAGTCCGAACCCAGGACCTTCTAGCTACAAGGCGAGCTCGTAGACCATTGAGCCACAGGGACCCGATTCAATGGTCTTTTTGACATTTAACTATGATGATATACAATTGGTGGATGATGGCTAGCAGTGGAATCCAGGATGCGCTTTTCGTCCTATTTGGGACTCGTCAGCTGGATGTACCTGCATTTCTCAGTGAGTGATGATGTTCCCACCGAGGCTCGAACCCAGTACCCATAGTTTCGAACGCCAAAGCGTTATCCACTAGACCACTTGGGCGACGAGAGCCACCTTTTGTGCTGTGCAACGGGTCATATTAATTATTGAATTGAATTTTTGATTTTTTTTTTCAATTCAATAATTAATATGACCCGTTGCACAAGAGGTGGCTCTCGTGGCCCAAGTGGTCTAGTGGATAACGCTTTGGCGTTTGAAACTATGGGTACTGGGTTCGAGCCTCGGTGGAAAAATCATCACTCACTGAGAAATGCAGGTACATCCAGCTGACGAGTCCCAAATAGGACGAAATGCGCATCCTGGATTCCACTGCTAGCCACCATCCACCAATTGTATACTAATTAAATACTCAGACATCGTCGAAGCATCTGCACAAGAAGCCGACATGTCAACCTGAGACCGAGCACTTCGGTCCAATCAATCGACGGGAAAATCAAAAATTCAATTCAATAACTATGATGATAACCACAAATATTTTAATTGCATTTCATACTTTTATTATTTTATGCACTCACAAGTATGATTCAATTCCCTTACAGGATATAACTTCATAAAAACCATATATATATATATATATATATATATATATATATATATACGATTATACAGCTTGATAATATATTCGTTGCAAAGAGTCTCTTCGCTGAATCACTTGTTTTGATTTTCTATATGTTACAATGGAAATTTTCCGTGAATCACAAATATGGCTGAAATGTATAAATAAGATGTGATTTTCCACAATAAAAAATTCTGTTGCCAAGTCTCTTGCCTTCTCCTGTTACACAGACACTAATTAAGACGTTTCCCTGTAGGTTGTCTTACCACTTCTTTTAGTTTAATAGGAAACTTGAACAAAACTTTAATCCTAAGGAAGCTGCAACCTCCCTAATCAAAGATGTGACTAAGAGTTCCTGTTACTGGAAACTCAATTAATAACACTTCATATAACCTATTCCAAGAACAATCGAAAACGTTACATGTTCAGGTACAACATTATAGGAGAAATTAGACATCCGGAAACATTTGTTAAGGAGTCTCGGCAAAGTTTAAGACTTTAAGCACCACTAACTACCAATCGGCGAATGAACTTGAACGCATCGATCATATGAAGGAGGCATTTTTGTTTATGGAAAACATGTATTTATGGGAAAAAAATGCATAAAGAAACCTTCCATAAAACCTTTTCATAGAAGTGATATGTGTTCCTATAATGGGATCCACAAAACCATTGGAATGGTTGACTCTGTGTTGAGTATATCCAAGGGACGACAGGGAGTTATAACCTTTCTACTCATCCACGTGTACGATGACACCTTCTCCTCCTAATAAGGAAGTAATTCTCTCCCTTTTCCATGATGCAGTGCTGGTATCATTGAACCGTTGATATATTATTTTCTCTCTTCCGGAAGCTACACCTATCACAGACTGTTTTAAAACGCAGTTACTACAAATATACAAAATCTTGGTTAAGAACAAGTGGGACCCGGCAAAAAATTTTCCTACGAAATATTAGAATCATCAGCTTACCTTCCCTGACATTTGACTCGAATCAAGCGAAACAGAAGCTTCAACTCACATGGATGAAATCCACTGGACCATTCAGGGCCATTCTCTGAATGGTAGTTAGTGTTGCTTAAAGTTTAACCTGACTGGAGTCTCATCAGCAAATGTCTTCCAGTATTTCAAAGTCCTCAGCTGCAAAGTTAGAGGTTTTTGATTCAATTCAGAGTAACAATAAGCGGTTTCCCTATCCCGTATCATATTTTGATGTGGCTGTGAAAATCAAACTGTTCCTTAACCCAGAAACGAATATGAAAGCAGCCATTTTGAATCCTTTTTGCATTTTAAGCTAACCTCTAAGTTCTACAGTCAGTAATGTTAAATCACTCACTGACAAGCCATTAAAATTATTTAAATTTTTACAGGTATTTCACGTAGTAATATATCGCCGATGATATATGTCTGATTTCCCACAAACTGGAAGATATGCAAATGAAAAGCAAAAAGCTGGCGATGGAAGTAGCATCAAAGATAGGACTTCAGGTGAACGTAGAGAATAACAGAGGTGATGAAGATTCCTGGGCAACACCAATAGCAACAACAATCAGCAAAAATGGGAGGAAACTGAAAAAAACAACCTCCTTTACAGCCTACCTGCCTAGGAATCATCGTTTCAACTACAAGCGGGCGGAACTAAAGAGGATATCAAAGTCTGGATCAGGAAATCGAGACAAGCTTTCAGTACTCTCAAGTCTTTGTGGAGGTCAACAGCCCCACTCAGCATGAAAATGAAAATCAGATCCGGATTTTTAACTCCAATGTGAAGTCAGTGCTACTATACGGATCAGACACTTGGCGCCGTGTCATGAAAAACACTTCAAACAAACTATAGACCTTCATTAACAGTTGTCTTCGCTCAATACCACTCAAGATCAGATGGCCAGGAAAGATTAACAAAAGGGATCTCTGGCAATGAGCGAACCAACCCAGCAGGAACCGATTGTGCAACAAATAGGCAGGAAGAAATGGAGGTGGATCGGCCATACTCTGAGAAATCAAACCATCAAGTGAGGGACATCACTAGACAAGCCATCGCTCGAGTGGAGCCCGAAAAGGGAAGCGGCGAGTTGGTTGTGAGTGAGAGTGTGACATGGAGGAGGTCATGCGTGAAGAGGAGATGAAAGCATGTGGGCAGATGTGGAGTCAGGTGAAAACGTTGGCGGAGAACCGAACGCAATGGAGACGTGCAACTGAAGCCTACAGTGAAAATTACAACCTATCATCAGCCTCCTAAAATAATAAAAACTCTTCAAGCTCAATCAGTAATCAAGACATTATTCAATGCAATAATAATTCTTACCTGATGACAGTTTAGTTGGACCACTTTTAGTAGATGTCTTAATCAAAGCTCTCGGTAAAGGTTGATTCGTTGGCATCATCCAGGGTATAGAATTATCTTCGTGTAATTTCATTGTATCCTCTTTTTCCTCCTCTGGTGACTTCATTGCTGTTGTTATGCCTAACATTAATGATGCATATGAATTGTTGCTATTACGTCGACTTGGATCGATAGAACTGTCACCAGTCGATTGACTACTATAATATCCACTGCTTGTATCACTACTACTATGTTTGCTAGCAGCTGATAAATAAGTAGTATCATTCGCCTCCCGATTCAATGAAAATCGTCTATTAATTGATTAAAAGTAAAATGAGATCAGTTACAATTTTTTTTTTAAAAATGAAAAACTACAAATATGGTAGTTGGGTAATGAAACAATAGAGATTTAACTAGATTTGAAATGACCGAACTCTCTCATCTCTCTTCTTGACACAATCTCCACCATGTTACCCTAGGAAGACCCAATCGTCGCTTCGCATTTGAATTCCACTCGAACATGGGCCTGCTACGCGATGTCATTCGACGGTCTCCTCAATGTATCCTCGATATATCTCCATTTTCTCTTACATATTTTTGTTAAGCGACCGGCTCTCGGTTCTTTTCTTCTCACAGTTTCTTGTTACTTTTTCTTTCTGGCCATTTGATCTCCCGTATGGAGTCATCGAAGGCAGCTGTTGACGAAAGTCTACAACCTGTTGTAAATCACTTTCCTGACATGCAGTGCAAGTTTCTGATCACTATTGGAGGACCGACTTGATACTCATGTTGAAAACCTGAATCTTGTTCTTTATGCTGAGTGCGGAAGATTTCCAAACTACTTTCAGGTTGATGAAGGCGTTTTTTGCCTTTCCGCTTCCGACTGGCTGACTTTGACATCTTTATCCGTTACGAGCGCCTACAGTTGAAACGATGCTTCCCAGATAAGTGAAGGAGGCAAACGCTGTTAAATATCTCTCGTTGACGGTGATTAGTGCTGGTTGTTGTTGTTGTTGTTGCTGTTGGTGGTGGTTGGTTATCTTCATCACCTCTGTGTTCTCTATGTTCACCTGCAGTCCTGTTTTCTCCGGCTGCTTCTTCAGCCAGTTTGTTGGTTTCCGCTTACCTGCAAGCCTTCGAGTTTGTGTGACATTAAACGTAAATCATCCACTTGCGAAATCCAGATCTTCTAGGGTCTTCTTATCGGTAGTCCAGCGTATTCGTATCTCATCACTCCCCACAGTCTGATTCATAATCTAGTCACTCCACCACAATTAAGAATATCAGCGTCGGTGATATGCAGTCAGCCTTGTCTTACTCCTGTATGCAATTCGAACACCTCGCTGAGTTTTTCGTTGTGGATCCCTTGAAATGATAGACCACTCTAATTTAAGTAACCTAGAAAATAGCTCTACTCTTGCGACACATCTAAATTTCATGTAATCATGCAGTAAGGTTGATGAGATACTGTAAAAGTAGCAGAAAGTAATTCCGTGAGAGATTATTCAACTGAAAGCTTGTTCATCAAATCAACAGCAAGTACTTGCAATCGACATGACTCAACACCTGACCCAGACATGAGGATATATATATATTTAACCCAGAAAGGAAGTTAAAAAGTTAACTGAATATGTAACAACAGAAGACAAGGGCCAGGCAACAGATCGTTTATTGAGAAAATCAACAAATATTTATAGATTTTTATGTACATTATTATTCGTTATTGTTAGAAGAGAAGCAAAGTCTTCTGGTTGGTTGTTTTCTTGCTCAAGGTTACTCTATCATCTCTTTTTGGCCGTTCCTTAGAAAGGAAAGCCAAATATCTGTGAATCGTATTTGTAGACGCTAAGTTTGTAGTGATTGGTTGTTGAGTTCCTCAAGATTAGTCTTTGTTCTTGTTTTTTCTAATGACCTCGATTCAAGACGTAAACATCGACCATCGAGTGGATTATGATTTCGAATTCCATTCCACTTACTTAGATTTGTGGGACTAGACAGGCGTGGTTCTCCACCACATGCATGTAAGTGCGATTGGGACGTATCATCTGATTGTATCAATATTTTAGTGAGCCGACATAACCAGTTTGCTCAGCAATAATACATAGATAGAGATGCATTAAACATATTTGAATTAGCCGGTTAATGGCGGCTGACGATGGAATCCAAAACGCGCATTTCGATCGAGTTAGTACTTATCAAGTGAATATAGCTGTATTCCCGGTGATTGATGGTATCCCTACTGCGAGTGAAATACAGCAACCATCTTCTCAAATGCCAAAGAGTTATACAGAGTTATATATTTCAGATACCTTCAAATGAATGAGACTCTCAACACAAATTTCTCTTTTCAAATATTGGTCTCTGTGGGCACTTTATTTGATTGGTTAGAAGATTTCATCATGAGCTGACATCAGTTAGATAACCATTGGAATACCTGTGGGGAGTACTGGACAGCCATTTCGCCAGCCTAGTTTCCGACTCTTCAACAGTACGCACCCACCTCTGGGGTTCGAACCTACGACCTTCTGGTTACAAGACGAGCTACCTAATAGACCATTAAGCCATTGGGACCCAGTTCAATGGCCCAATTCATCGCGAAGCCGTTGCGCCATGTCATGATTTGGTAGAAGTGAGAATTCATGGACCATTGAACCGGTTCCCAGCGGCTTAATGGTCTACGAGATAACTCATCCTGTAACCAGAAGGTCACGGGTTTGAATCCCAACGGTGGTTGCGTACTATTAAAGAGTCACAAACTAGGCTAATGGAACAGCTGTCCACTAGCTCTCCAGTGAAGGTTCTCCAATGGTTATCTAACGATGTCAGTTCATGATGAGACCCTTCAAGCAATCAAAAATCTCTGCGTCAACAAATGACTTAATAATCGAAATATGTCACGGAATTGTTTCAAATTGCCTAAACCCTTTATAAAATAAAACTATTTATACTAGTATTGTTTATCATTACGAATGTGGTGAGAGCAGGCTGCTAGCCGATTGGTTGACACTAAGCTACGTTAATATGGGCCGTGAGAAAATATGAACAAGGCTGAGTCAACAACCAATCACAGCAAAGTTAACATGGCAAAATATGATTCGCAGATAGAGAACTCTATTTGTCAAGGAATCCCGAAACAACCAATCAGAAGCCTGCGTTTGTCTGCCTAACTTCTGATAAACAACCAATCAGATGACTGCGCTTGTCTACTTGCATAAGCTATAATAATGTATGTGAAATATATATAAATACGTGTTGATTTTCATAATAAAACGATCTGTTGCCTGGCCCTTGTCTTCTGTTGTTACACGAAGACCGTTTATTCGAAGTTAAACCTTGCACTAAGTAAATACACAGATACTGTAGTCGGTGAAATGGTGTTTGGCATTCAGATTTAACATTGTGATGCAATGAGTGATGATAGGTGAGGGTAAAGTGGAAATCTGGATCACTGCAGAATTCCGACCGATAGCCTCCGAATTTCCAGTCAAGTGATCTACCGGCCGGACTTTGAGATTCAATTACTAACCAGGTCATCATTATCACTTGGCTGAAGAAGCAGCAAAGACAGGACTCCATTTGACCTTAGAGAAAACGCAGCTGATGAAGAAGACAACCAACCAGCAACAAAACCAGTACCAGTCACTATCAACGTGAGAAATGTGAGAGAGGTTAATTCCTTCACTTATCCACAGGTGGGTGGAACGGATGAAGACGTCAAAGCCAGGATCGAGAAAACAAGATATACCTTCATCACCCTGAAACCACTCTCAAAGTCTTCTGAACTCTGCACAGACAACATGATTCGAATTTTCAACTCCAATATTGTTAAGCCGGACACTGCTTCTCTGTAGGTCAGTATCCTGTATTGGACGTGAGTCACGAAAAGCATATCCAACAGGCCACTGCAGACTTTTAACAAATAGCTACACCCTTTGCTGGCTGACTCCATACTGAAGATCAAATGGCTGGCCGAACAGAAATAGTCAGCAACAAGAAGCCCTGGCAATAAACAAGCCAACAGGCGAGAACCGATCGCTTGACAAATATGCCGAAGAAAATGGAGATGACCCCGACACACACTCACACACCACTGAGTAGACCATCGAATGACATCGCAGGCCATTGCTCCAGTGGGACCTGAAATGGGTGACGATGAGTTAAGCTTCGATCCGAGGATGACATGAAGGAGATCATTTGGGAAGAAAGAGATGAGAGACTTTGCGTAATACTGGGTCCAGTTGAAGAGGACCCCCAGAACAATGTGGAGATATGCAATTAATAGTGTTCTCTGGACTTGTTGGTCTAGTTGCGGAGCTTTCGTCGTCCCCCTTCTGGACAACATCTTCAGCGCAATACTTAGCATAAAGTGAAATGATTTAAATTTCTTCATGATCATCATCGCTATAGAGTAATTGTTGCATAGTTTCTGTTGCTAGTTTTGGGCTAATTGAAGTATATAATGCTGTGACATCAAAGGACACGATTATCTCATTGTCTTCTACTGAAATGTTTTTGATTTTCTCTGAAAATTGGATTGACGAATTGATAGAATGGTCGCATTATCCTGTTAGGTAATTTAATTTCCTGAAAAGTTCTTTAGATAGATTGCATGTCGGTGTTCCTGGAAACGAAACGATTGTTCGTAAGGGAATGTTTGGTTTGTGTAGTTTTGGTCTGCGATAGAATCGAGGTAAAATGGGTCCGTTAGATCTCATTCGCCATTGATCTTCTTTTGTAATTTGTCCTGATTTCGTTAGTTTATTTAACGTTGTTCTGATTTTGTTATCTAATGTTTGTATAGGGTTTTTAGTCAACTGTTGATATACATTATTATCTTGGAGTAAATCCTCTGCTTTCTTTATGTAGTCTTCTGTGTCCAAGATAACTGTAGTTCTTCCTCTATCAGCCGGTAGAATAACTATATCTTTTCTATTCTTCAGTTTCTTCAATGCATTTTGCTCTTCAGTGCTAAGTTGGGAATCATGTCTTTTCTGTTTGAGTATAGGTATGATACATTGACGTATTTCTTGTTGTACTTCCTCATTTAATTATGATAATCTGAGTGATGATTCTAAGGAAGTACAGAAGCGTCACCAGTATTGTAGTTGAGTCCTTTCTGAAGAGTTTGTTCTTCTGCTTTCGATAATGGTTGTTTCGATAGATTTACTACGCAATCATTTAGAGTTTCTTCAGATGGTTGTTTGGATATCTTAGGTAGTTTTTCTTTAAGGACAACTCGTCTTGTGGTGAGAGCTGGATGCTAGCTAAATTGGTAGACATTAGTTTACGTCAATGTTTATGTCCCCAATATTGGTCGTGAGAATATATGAACAAAAACTGATTCATCAACCAATCACAGCAGACATTGCGTATACATTGCAGATACAGTTAACATATAGATGACCTGACATTCAAGAAACAGCCACAAAGAGATGCAAGGTTAACTTTCTGTGAGAAACAACCATTCAGAAGAGTGTGATTGTTTGCTTAAATAAGTTATAATAATCTACATGAAAATATATAAATACGTGTTGATTTCCTTAATAAACGATCTGTTACCTGGCCCTTGTCTTCTGTTGTTAGTCTTCGTTCTTTGTGTCGTTCACTTAATATTTTAATGGCAGTATTCAATGATGACAGATGTTCTGGGGTAAGAGCCTGTTCAACCTCTTCTTTTTAAAAATCTAATCATATGCTGGTATTTTTTAATCCTATTGTGTGCATCTGTGATCATTAATTTTACCATTTGTTTTCCATGTTGTTTGGCTAATTTCCAGCCTAGAGGGCAGTTAATTGGTGGTTTACATTTCACACTAGCCGGTAGAATCTGCTGGCAGAGACATTGGTGAAGAAAGAATAGTTGTTCTTCTGTAGGAACTTGCCTTTTAGCAAAATCTTCCCATTTTCGACAACACAGAAGGGTATCAGGCTCGTAAAATTTTTGAAATAATAGAGAAGATTTGTAGTTTAGGTGGATGATTTGCAATTAATAGTGTTCTCTGAGCTGGTTAGTTTAGTTGCCAAGCTTTCGTCGTCCGTGCTTCTGGACAACATCCCATTTCAGCGCAATATTTGGCAATCAGCTCAGAGAACACCATTAATTGTAAATCATCCACCTGAGCTACAAAAACAATATGAATAACTATCACTCTTTTAGACAATAAAAACCAGGGGGGATATATACTTGCCTTAAAATATCACTAAATTTATTTGTAATCGGTGGTGGATGCGCGTATGAATGTGATCTACCAGTGAATGGTTGACTAAATGTTGATGCTGGTTGATGTTTAACTTCATCTGCATTGAAATTTGGCATTGATCCAATTGTCGGGAGATAATGGTCTACAGGTTGATTCAGTGTGAATGGTGAGTTCAACTGTGAGGTATCCTGTTGAAGGGATGAATGTGCTAATCTCTCGTGTTGATTTAATTTCTCAGCTGCATATTGTATAGCACAAAGAACACTTGTAAAGCGATGACTGGGTGAGATATTCTCAGTTTGACCTGAAAATCAAAACGAAGAAAAAGCAAAAGCAGAAGATTAGGTAGGCGTTAAAGAGGAAAATTTGTTTAATGAATAATCACAAGTCAATTATTAGTTTGTAGGGATTTGATTGACCTGTTACAGGATTTCATCATGATCTCAGTGGGTGCGTACTGATGTAGAGTTCCAAATTAGGACGAAACAACTGTCTATTGAATGAGGTTGTATGACAATGGGTCACAATATGAGCTCACCTTCGTTCACCTCGGTGAATGCATGTACAGTAACTGGTTCAACCTAAAAACTCATACTCCTCACGATAATTTAGAGATATTTTGAAGTCATGTCAAGAAAAGCTACCCTGTTTAGTGTAGATAAACGTCATTTTTATGCAAAAATCACCCTATTTCCCGATTGGTCGGCTCAGTGTCATCTGTGTGTTTCTCAATTCGTGGATTGTTATAGTTTAAATTTGCCCACATTTATTCCAATATATATTTGAATAGCCTATCAGCAAGCTGTCTATTTTCAATCCCAAAATAATATGAGTGCACTAGAATTTGGACATGATTATTACCACCCATTCTTGCATTGGAACAGCTAAACATCATCGCCTCTAATATCTGAAACTGTCCAATGTTTTCTTAATTTTATTTAGTTTTACAGTACAAAAGTAAATAAAATAAACAAATTTAAGGCTGACTGTAAACAACATTTTGCTAGGCTATTTAAATGCCTTTAAATAAATAAGTTCAAATTCTTTTTTGATCAGTCATTAACAATTAACCAATAGGATTCTCCTATAAATTCAAAAATTTTCTCACAGTCGGAATGACCTTGAATTCACCAATCATATGACAAAGTGTGATTTTGACCTACAAAATAAGTAGTAGTTCACGTGATCAGTTGTCAATACACATTTTTTGAAAAATAACAATTAACCTTGAAACAAGCAATGACTTATAATGATGACGGTGGTGATGATGGTGATGGTCAGAAGTCTGAGCTAAATTCATCCGGACACAGTAATGATGATCTTTATTGCAAACGCGTGTAACTGTAGCGTACGCTACTGATAAAATTTATCAGTAGCACATAAAAAAGACATTCATCAGCATAAAAACATCAACTAGCAGAGAGATAGAATTAATGTCAGAGAAAGCAAATGATACAACGTTGCGGAGAAACATTGAGGACGTGAAAACTAGACAAAGAAACACAATCTGAAGGCCACCAGTAGCACAGTACTCAAGAACTGTGCATATGTGGGTTGAAAATAAGGTGCAAATAATTTCGCTATATAGAGATACCAAGTCTCTCGTCACATAACTACTGCCCGGTGTTTATTCAAGTCACTTCAATTAGGCTAGCCAAAAATTACTGTTTCGATGTTTCGATGTAAGTTGGCTAGAGAAGATTGGTTTGAGGCCAGAGATAAAAACCTTCTGTTAGACGCGGCTTTTATCGATCTTAGCAAGGCATTCTATAAAGTATCCCACTTAAGTCTCCTTAGTAAACTTAAAGGCTTCAGACTAGACCAATGTCTATGTGAATGGTTTAGAGGTTACCTAATGAATAGAAAGCAGAAGGTTAGAGTTAACGGTGTATTATCAGGGTGGAAAGCAGTATCCTATGGAGAACTGTATTAGGCCCTTGCTATTCCTATTATACGTTAACGAATTACCAGGGATTCTTTCTTCATCTTCATTATTATTTGCAGATGACATTAAGATATGGAAAACTGTAAACAATAACGAGGATAGGTTGGCCCTACAAACTGATTTAGATAAATTAGCTGAGTGGTCGAACATGTGGAGTTTGGAAATGAATTCTAGGAAAAACGCGGTAATGCACTTAGGTCAGAAGTCTTATACGTCGTGCTCCATAGGGGACACAGAACTACCTGATGTTAACCAACAGAAAGACCTAGGAATCACTGTCAGCAATGATTTGAAAACAAGTGCAAATTGCAATGCAGCTGCAGCTAAGGCTTTTCGAATGCTATGGGCACTTCGAAAGGATTTCAAACGATTAGTCGAGGGTATGTTCCATGTACTCTATGCAACATATATCAGTCCTCATCTAGAATACTGCACACCAGTGGTGAGTCCATGCTTCAAAAAGGAGGCACATATTCTGGAAAGAGTACAGAAAATAGGAACCAAATTAGTTAGTGGTATCTCACACCTTTCTTAGGATAAGAGGATGGAGCATTTAAATCTGTTCCCGTTATCATACCGAAGGAAGAGAGGCGACTTAATTTTAGCATGCCGTATACTTAAAGGTGATTTAGGAACTGACCTTTATAAACTTTTCACCACTTCTAGGATACATTTACGGGGTCACCAGAAAAAAGTGCTCAAACCGAGGACGATTAAAATACGTGAAGAATTTAGATTCTCTCACGGAGTGGTCAACGGCTAGAACTCCTTTTCTGATTCAGTAGTATCAGCTCCACCGGTGAACGCTTTCAAAGACAAGTTAGATCTCTGCAGAGAAATATTTTGCAAGGATTAAAACAGGCCACATGAGCCTTCTGTCCTTATCATCTGAATCTAAATCTGATTTCAACTACTTACATCAGCTAATCAGTAGTGTGTGTAATAGCCATGATATTTGTGTGTGGTGAACCAGTTCAGGACAAAAAGTCAGGTGGATAAATCACTTTTGTCTCTGGAGTACACAATGAACTATAATATAAGCGGGAATAGAAAGTTCCTTTCAGTCAACGTGTCTTTATATGTGTTTATGTATGACCCAGATAAATCCAAAAGTTTTTTTTTATCTTTAAAAAAAAAAAAAATAAGTAATACGGTTACTAATGGAGACAATATGGTTCTAATTTGCTAAAGGACTTCCATTCAGCATGAAACGTTTCTGTATTACACTGACGATTTAAGTAGTATTCTGAATTTCTGGTGTTTCTGAAACAGTAATCACATCACCTAAATCATTAAGTCACCTAAAGTAATTTTGGTGGATGGTGACTGGCACTGGAATCTAGGATAGTGCGCATTTCATCCTCCTATTTGAGGCTGGCTCTTCAGTTGAATGTACCAGTATTCACTAATGGGTGAGTGGTGATGTTTCCAGTTAGACTCGAACCCAAACCCCACGGTTTCAAACGCCAAAGCGGTTTATCCACTAGACTACTTGCACCACGAAGGCCACCTCCTGTGCAACAGGTGTTAGTTATTGTGTAATTGAATTTAGACTTTCCCATTGATCGATTATAATTATTATTGTTTCCTTTAATTCCTAGAGGAACATAGGAGGCACATCAGCCGCACGTCTCCATCGTGTTCGGTTATCCGCCAATGTTTTCACTTGGCTCCACATCTGCCCACATTATTTCATCTCCTCTTCACATGACCTCCTCCATGTTACACTCTCACTGACGACCCACTAACCCACCACTTCTTATTCGGGTTCCACTTGAGCGATAGTCTGAGGTGTCATGTCACCTGATGGTTTGTTTTCTCAGAGTATGACAAATTCACCTCCATTTTTTCCTGCAGATTTTTTGCACAATTGGTTCCTGGCCACCCATCTGATCTTGAGTAGTGTTGATCGAGAACAGCTGTTGACGAAGGTCTGTAGTTTGTTTGCAGTGCCCTTCGCAACTGAGCACCAAGTCTCTGATCCGTAAAGTAAATAGCACTAACTGACTTCACACTGAAGTTGAAAATCCGGATCTTGTTTTTCATGCTGAGTGTGCTGCTGATCTCCACAGAGACTCGAGGGTAACTAAACCTTACCTTACTTTCCCGATCCTCGCTTTGATATCCTTATCAGTTCAGTCTACCTGTAGTTGAAATGATGCTTCCTAGGTAATTTTGGTGAGTAACTTCGGGTTAAATCCCCAAGCATTGCTGATGCGTCCACATAATGAGCCAACATATCAGCTGAGGGTGAGCACTTCTATCCAATCATCAGTCAACAGGAAAGTTCAAAATGGATTAAATCCACCTAGTTTAAATTATCTCGATTTTTCGATTTTAATTCTTTGAAGCACAATTCCATTTTAACTGACCATCCTCCGGATATTCACGTCTTCCATGTTCCTTCGCAATACTGTATCATTTGCTTTCTCTGACAGCTATTCCATCTCCCTGCTATTTGATGTTTTTATGAAAATGAACGTCTCTTTACATACTACTGATGAATCTTATCAGTAGCAACCGCCACAACGTAACCGAACAAATATGTATATTGGCAAACACAGATAAGTTCACTTTTAGTGAAGAAAGCGAAATAATTTGTGGGATTTTCATCATCAGCTGATATCGGTTAGAGAAAGATTGAGTCCCAGGACTCGAGTACTGGACAGCTATCTGTTTCGTCGAAATAGTTTGCGCTTTATTGCCAGTACGCAATCACCCCACTTCGGTGTGCCAAACCATGACTTTCCGATTACAGACCAGGCCAGCTTGTAGATCATTCAGTTAATGGGACCCGACTCCTCAATGAACTCCAGTCCATAAATTATTAATCTGATGCTCTCTAATAGTGACTGGCTACAGGGCGAAGTTGTCCACCTGAAGTTCTGGTGGGAAATCGGGACCAGTGGGTCCAACCAAAATTGGAATAGGGACAAATACTGACCGGTGATGATACATCGGCTGGTGATAGTGGCGCTAAAATCATCAATCGGTAGAAGTTTAAATTCATATTCTGGCAGCTATTGAGGAGTCGGATCCTAATAAGTGAATGATTTACGATATAGCCTGGTTTAAAACCGGAAGGCCATGGGTTAGAACCATAACTAGATTGACGAAACATCTGGCTGTCCAGTACTCCTTGCCGCTGGTTTTCAATCCTCCACTAACTGATATCAATCTGTGATCAAACTTGAAATAATGTCCGAAATATACTGTGCAAATGTATAGCAAGTCTTGCACAAATAATTATATATTCTTATTTCGTATTCATTTCATAAGTTCCAAGTGAAACATACGACATCATTTGAATGATATCACTTTCAACCAACTCCACAAATACTCCCACAAACCTTCAATTCCTCACCACATGATCATCTCCATTGTCACACACTCAGTCAATCAACCTGTTGTTTCCATATTCAGATTCCACTCGACACCCTCCCCTCCTACCTGGCCACCTGCCTTACAAATAATGTCACTTGAATGAATATCTCTTCATTGCATGTTGGCCGAATCCATCTCCATTACTTTCTGCATATTTGTTGAATCATGAACTTGGTTCTCCTCTTGTCTGACGCTTATTCTCTTTATGATCAGCCATCTGATCAATAATACTGAGTAAACAAGGAACGACAGACCGGGATGGGGCTGGAAGAGGGGTGAGGTGTGCAGCTGATGATAAAAGCTTGTATAAAGCAGTCTATTTGCCTCTTTCGAAATTCGTAAAGAAAACGTATCTCTACTTAAAAGTACGTTTCACAACTTGATAGACTGAAATCCTAGATAATAGTAGTATGTTTAGTAATCTCCCTCTTCTTTATTTAAGTCCTAGATAGAGGACATTAACCAATTCACTCACTTATTCATTCATTCATTCATTCCTTGCTACATATCCAGAAATATACCATAATAATAATAATCGGTTGATTTTGTATATATCCGCACTGTTAAACAAAGAAACTAAAACCAATACACAGTCACTCACTGACACACACATACACAAACACACGACAGACATATACACATACAAAAGTACTCAAAAATATTTATGCGAAATAAAATGAGAACCTATAAAAAGAAATGGTCTCATTTCATGACATTATTGTCCAGAATTGAGATAAGCATAGAGGTGGAGAGAGAGAGAGAGAGAGAGAAATGCTCTCAAAATTAGTTATTATTTCATTTGAATCCGTGATTAAGAAATTGAAACCAAATTCAGAAATCTGCCTAGTCTATCATGGGTTATCCACGGGATTGACAGTATGTAAAGGTCAGTCACATTTAACACTAGAATAAGGAGATGTTCAAATTCTAGTGTTTTTTTTACTCAATGTATTTATGAATTATGACGCGGTAACATGACCAAACCTCGGTGACTTTATTATTGATAATACTGAAATCTGTTAGGTGTTTTTATACACTATATGAAAGATTAAATCGAATTCGGTGGCATAGAACTACTGCAAAACTTGGGAGTACTAGATAACTAGCTGTTTCGTCAGCCTAGTTTTGGAACTCTTCAGCAACACCAACTCACGCTGCAGCCAGGGTTCCAATGCATGACCTTGAGGTTAAGAGGCAAGCGAGCTCATTGGAACCCGATCCAGCGGCCAGTCCATTGTCTACGAGCTGAATCACCTTTCAACCGGAAAGTGGTGGGTTTCAACCCTGACAGTTGGTTGGGTGCGTACTGGTGAAGAGTCCTAAAATAGGCTGACGGAACAGTTAGCTGTCCAATACTCCAGCGGTCTTCTAACCGATGCCAGCTTATGATGAAATCTTGTAACCAACCAAATCAAATCTCTCCAACACCAACACTCGAATTTTCTAGTAATATATATATATATATATATATATATATATATATATAATGAGAATTAATAATGAATATTCAACTTACCAGTTTTTGAATTTATCGATGATCGATACAATGTATACTGACCGCATAATGGACATTCATAAAGTCGAAATAAACCTTCCATAAATGATTTACTAATTGGTGAATCAAAATTACCAGTATTAAAGCTAAAATTATTTGATATTGATGATGATAATGAAGACGGAGAATTGATATCTATTGGTGATGATGATGACTGAGATAGAATTGAACTAGTTGCATTATTCAACAGCTGACAATAGAAATCACAACATGAATCCCAATGATCTAAACACTTTTTATGTATTGGTCCACCTGTAAAAACAAGAACAGTAAAGGAAAAATATACGGTAAACAAACAAATTTATCAGAAATTTTTTGTCAGTCTGAAGACGTTGATGTGGAGATCCATGGCATTGAATACACAAAGAATGAGATCTAAATTGGTTACAGAACAGCTGTTTCGTCAGCCTAGTTCAGGACTCTTCACCAGCACGCATTCACTGGGGTTCGGACTCACGACCTTCTAGTTACAAAATGAGCTATCTCGTAGTCCATTAATCCACTGTACTCGGTAGGGTACAGCAGGTCGGGTGTGAAGATAAATACTCACCGCGCATGCATGCGCTAACACACAACCACACAATAGGGTGGGAGAGGGTTAAAATTCTAAAAAGTTATCTAGGTAGGTGGAGAGAGAGGTTGATTACTGAATCCTTGTTCATCGAGTCTACACCCAACACATGCAATAGGAATGACTCGTCACTCATACCTGAAATATGGAAAATACTATTACCAATCAAATCAAGTGAAAATCAAGAGAAAAACAATGGAACATATAAATGAATTTAGGAAGTCGTGAGATTACCTTGATATGATTATGAGCAATAAATTGTGCTCGAAACGTCATCAGTAAACATTACTGTATAACACTGTGAGACTTTATCAAAACAAAATTTACCCATAATGAAATACACTCTACCACAGTGCACAAGTTTTATTCTTATATTAATGATACTTTTAAAGAAGCCGTTCCTAGCGATAAAACATTCACCAATAACTTCAAGTATATTGGTGGACAGTGAGTAGCATTGGAATCCATCAAGATGAACATTGCGTCCTATTCGGAGCTCGTCAGCTTGATATACCTGCATTCCTCAGTGATTGAGTGATTGAGTGAGTGAGGGTGTTCCCACAAGAGATGGCTCTCGTGGGCGTTTCAAATGGTGGGTACTGGGTTGAAGCCTCTGTGGGGGGAGGGGGGCGTGACACCACCACCTAATCAATGGAGAATGTATCCAGTGACTGACGAGTCCTAAAGAGGGGTGAGATATGCGCATCCTGGATTCCACTGTGAGTCACCATTCACCATATGCAGCATATGTACAGGGAGCTAACATGTCAACCTGAGGCCGAACACTTCGGTGTCCAATCAATCAATCAATCAATTAGGGGGAAAGTTCAATCCCAATTAAATTCACCAATACCATTTTCGATTAAGTGATCAAGTTGAATCCCCATCTTTTGCTCTTAAACCACTAACGTGTGTCCTCTACTCCAACCATCTTATGAAGACTTTCTTGAGGCATTCAATGTAATATTAACGTTTATATAAGGACTTAGGTATACACAAAGTCCCTAACTAGGCTAATGGAACAGCTAACCAGTACTCCCAGTTGGTTTTCCAATAGTTCTCTAACTGATATCAGCTCATGATGAAATCCTTCAACCAATCAAACAAACAACAGAAAATCCCTACAAAACCAATACTTTAAAATACACAAAGTAAACAAAGAGTGATATCTTCCTAGAGGCTTGTTGAATAGATAAATCACTATTTTAACCTACCTGTGATTCTATTGGTCGATTAAGGGCTATACAACTCACGTGTATACAAAAACAGACACACCCCTTAATCACTGACATACACGTACATTATTTTGTTGTTGTGTCTGTGTTCATCGCATGATCTAGTTATGAACATTTAGATAGACACACACACTAAACATAAACATACTAATTAAAATGGATGGAAAAATTAAACACACACGCACACACACACGCGTGCACATAGACAAGCAACCCACACACACACACACTGAGCCACATTCGCGTAAGGCCTAGTATGAATAAGGATTGAACGACAAAGACAAACAAGTTTCTTCATTTCACATCAAAATAAATGACCTTAACCTTAAAAAAAAAATACATTTTCTCTCTCGGATAAAACCTTTTTTGTTGTGTGTGTGTGTGTGTGTGTTTGTAAATAGCAAAAAAAAGAAAAGAAATAAAAAGTACATAGAATTATTGAATTTCGTGTGTGTAGTGTTAATAGTACAAATTGTAGTGAATCAATGTCCTGGATATAAAAATTATATCATATTTTATAAATCTTAAAAGATTGTAGGGTTTTCTTTGAAGTGGCGCCACCTGCTTCATAAGGACGTTTCAATAAGTTGGCCAATATATATGTAATATATATACCAGCATAATTTCATGAAAATTCATCTATAATATAATAAGTGGAAGAGTTGTGAACTTACTACGCCTCTTTAAGTAACATTTTCTGATAAAAGTGCAGCATATGTAATACATTTCAAGCGTATAATGCCACCATCAATATTATAGAAGTTAATTGGTGGATGGTAACTAACAGTGGAATCCAGATGTGGCTCTCGTAGCCAAAGTGGTCTAGTGGATAACCGGCTTTGGCATTTGAAACTATGGGTATTGAGTTCGAACCCCTGTGGGAATATTATTATCACTGCCTCATTGCGGAATACAGGTATATTCAGGGACTGACGAATACCAAATAGGACGAAATGCACGTTATCCTGGATTCCATCCACTGTTAGTCACAATCCACCAATTCACTTCTAATCTGAGACCGAGCACTTCGGTTCAATCAATCGACAGGAAAATCTAAAATTGGACCGCTTATAATGTGTAATCCGGAAAAAAAAATATTTTAACTGCAAAATTTGATTTAAAAAGTACACAAAATGGTCAGTTTGTCTTTAAATCACCATAGTAACGGACTACGAGGCTACAATTACTAGAGATGTACAATAATGACACTCAACATAAACTATTCAGCATGCAGTGAGGAGTTAACCAGTTTCTGTGTAGAGATGGTTAAAAGATGGTTAGAGTTAAGAGAGACATTAAAAATAGGGTAGGATAAAGTTGATGAATGGAATGAATATATGGAATGGAATATTTTAAATCTGCAGAATTAGCTTGTTTTTATTGATTTCTATAGTTGCAGTTATATAATAGGCGGCCTGTTTAAACATTGGGTTATCGTAAACAAACTCCATCCAATGTGTTGCAAATAATTTCTCTTATTCAAATCTAGTGAGATATGACCTGGTGAGTATTTAAAACATTTACAACCTGCTGATTCGCTAGTCGATCCTATTGAAAACGTGAATAAGCAGGATATGTTCAAGTGATACAATCGATGGGGAACTGGGGGGACTCAGACAAGTCCTCATACAGAGTGGATATTCTGTTAGGGAAAAAGCCTGAAAGTATCCAGACGGTGCTGAAGAAACTGTTATTTATGAGGTGATACCGCAGCTGAGATTCTGAAAAATCACTTATGCAGATCACTGAGGAAAGCCTTCTTTATGGCTGAGGTACGGATCAATTTCTACAGCCGACAAATGATCATTGGATGTGTGAAGGATAAACTGGCGCTTTGGGCCACCTCAATGTGTGGAGCTAGTTATATTGGCCGCCAGCACAAAGCGCACACATTCCAAACGGATCTCTGAACATTATCCGGCATGGTTAGCAAAGGGACAATGGTAGACTATTACTAGCTCAATTCTAGAGCACTTAGTGAACTCAGGCCACGTAGCTCCACCAGAGTCGTCTTTCAAGGTGAAGCCAAATGGTAGAAAGGGCGTCAGATTTCGGCTTTTGGGTAAGGCGGAGGCGCTGGCAATTCGTCAATACAACCCCGAACTCTGTATACAGAAAATGTTTGTCCAGTCTCTTATTCTGCATTGGTCTTAACCTCTTTATTAATTGTTCCCTGTAAAAATTTTCATTTTTCATTTTTTCCTTTACTTTTGCTTTGATAATTAATTCACTATTATCACTCTCATATGTTCCTTTTGTACATTTTCACACCATCTTCACACTTGTTAAATTGACACTCAAATACCTTTATTCTCCCTCATTAGCAATTTTAACCTTATCAAACTTCTATCTTTGCTCCGTTGAGTACCATGTAATTTACAACTTTTAATTTTCACTTCTAAAGCCACTTCTGAGTAATTATATCACTTATGTCGCCCCATATTACTCAATAATAGACCCCTATACATGTTTGCTAAGTATAAATACGACTGTACAGCCTCTGAAGATGATTTCGTCGATAAAGAAAATTTCCTTCGCTGGCTGAATTTGTCTTTTATTTTCTTCATGAGGTAGAACTGTGTCCCACGATCTACTGTCAATTAATGTTATATTTAAAAATCGCGGACGACGATAAAATATGACGTAATAAACTCCGGTGAGAATTCTCTACATTATATAAACACAATTAATATAAAATCATGTTTCCTAAGACAGATATGTTCACGTGTAACGGCTTTTTTCTATTTTGATGTTCGTTTAGTGAATTTTCTCTGCCTAACACTGATATGCATTCACAATATGACATAAATAGCCATTCTCCTTCGAGGCTATTCAATCATCTTCTTAGGATTGAGTACATATAACAAGTTTACATCAAGGAGCATATTTTAAGGAGGCTATAAATTAAGTTGCTTTCATGATCAAATTCTCCAGACATATCTTGTTATAACTTTCAAAATAATTTGAAACGAAACAGTTATCCAGTACTCCCAGATTTTACAATGGTCCTCCAGCCGATATCAGCTCATGATGAAATCCTCTAACTAATTTGAAACTCTTTAGTAAGTAATCAAAGACGGCGAAGTCAAAGTATCACATCTCAGAGGTGCGGATCCTCTGATGATGTTGAACGTAAAATAGCCATTGGGTAACGGAACTTACTATTATTATTAACATTATGATTATTATTATTATTATTATAGCTCCAGTGTGAATGTCATTCACGAATTCAGGTGCAAATTTCACCCCGATCACGTTTTTAAGCACTGTTTGAACTATATTTTCATCTGTCTGTCTGTCTGTCTGTCTATCTATCTATTTTAGACATAGAACTTTGCACCGATGTGCAGCAGTTTAAGTCGCCACACTCTATGTAGCACATAAAGCAAGAGAAGAAAGTAGAAAAAAATGCCTAATAGAGACAGTAAACAGAGGTGTGAGACAAA